CATGTGGCTGGGATGGTGTTGGTCACAGATACAGCCATGGCCATCTGTGGCTGCTTGGTTGCTCCCAGCAGAAATCCTGCCCTGGGATCCTCCTCTGGCATGCCCTGCCCTTGGCTGTGCCCTCTGCATGTGCCCAAGTCCCTGCCAGAATCCCAGCCCAGACTGCCTTTGGGACCTGGACAGCCACTCCTTGCCATGGGCCGTGGGGCTGAGGCAGCTTCCTCATCCTCTGCTCTCACCCTGCTCCCCTTGTCCAGGGGCACCTGCTGGGCTCTGATGCCTCTGCCTCATTTCCAGGGTCGTCTACCAGGATGGGTTCTACGGAGCTGAGATCTACGTAAGTGGCACTGTGCCCAGGGCTGGGCTGTGACTGGGACCCTGTACCAGCACAGGGGGCAAGCAGTTTCACACAGGTCTCTGGTGGGCTCTGCCCCCCTCAACCCCTTCCCCTGGGCAGCAGCAAGAGCAGGAACACAGCACACCTTCTTCAGAGCAGTCTGGTTGGCACCCACCACACAAGACCCTGTGCCCAGTCCTGTGCCCCTGGTACCACACAGGATTTACAGCCTCGGTTCCTTACACCCGTGTTTAACCTCCATGTCTGAGGAGCCAGCGGCGATATCTCAGGAGGGCACTGAAGGATTTATCTAACGTGACACCTTATTAAAGTGAGCAGGGAGGTGACAGTCTCTTCTCTGGAAATTTAATTTTTTAAGGTTAATGTTTGTGAAAGCCCCTGGGGAATGGTAATGAGGCTGATCCGTGCCCAGTGGCACTGGCACCAGCCCGCTGTGGGCCCCACACCTTTCCGTGCAGTGTGATGGGGCACTCAGCTGCCCCAGCCCCACGCCCCCAGTGGGTGCAGCCCCTTGACCAGTCTCTCCTCCCTGCAGGGGGGCTATGCTGCCTACAGGTATGCCCAGCCCGCAGCAGCAGCAGCCGCGTACAGCGACAGGTAAGCACCGGGCATCGCACCGGGGGAGCCCCGTGTCACCCCTGAACAGCCCCCTCTGACACCCCAGATTTTGAGTGCTGTGGGACAGGACAGAGTCAGGCATGGGGAGGGAGTGCTGCAAACAGGGACCCCTTGCTCCCCTCGGGGCTAGGCTGGAAAGGGTTGGCACCACTGCAGGGGGAACAGGGATAGCCCAGGGGACTCCCGGGTGCAGCTGGGAGGGAGGGAGGGCTCTGAGGGGAGACAGGACCCAGGTGTTGTCACTAACACCTGCCGCTGTTTGCTCCTAGCTACGGCAGAGTGTACGCAGCGGCAGACCCCTACCACCACACCATCGGCCCCGCCGCCACCTACAGCATTGGCACCATGGTAAGAGCAGCCCTCGGCCTTCCTCTGCTTCCCGGGGGGCTGCAGACAACCCAGGGAGGGTCTGGCACAGCGGCCGTGGGCCTGTGGGACACAGGGCAGGTGCGGGGCTGTGGGAGGGGAGTGGGAATGGCGCAGCCCCTGCCTGGCTCTGTCTGCAGGAGAGGAAACCCCCCACCCCGCACCCTACCCTGCCTTCCCCTCACACCCCGCACAGTCCTGCCCCCACACGCCACTTCCCACGGGCCTGGCTGTCCCCCACCGGCTGCCTGGTCAGGCTCCAGGACCCCTCTCTCATCCCAGTGCACGACAGTGTCCCCAGCCACACACAGGGCACTGCAGCCCCTCACGTGCCACAGCTCTTGGCCAGCTCTGACAGCATCAAAGATGAAAAACTGTACTCACGGCTGGGATCGCAAAGCCAACCTGCCTTTTTCTGCCTTTTTTGACTCCCTGGGGAGCTGCTAGTGAGGGGGTCACGGGCACTACATCCCTAGGGGTTTTCAGCTCAGTGCCACAGCAGGGATGGGGGCAGCTCCTTGGCAGGCATGGCACAGCAGTGCCACACTGGAGGCATATGGCAGCCCCTGCCCCCAGGAGAGTGCCCATGGCCACCACAGAGTCTGGACACCACTGGGCACTCTGGCCCTGCCTGCCCCTCACATCCCAAGGACAACAGCAATTTGGTGTCATTTGAAAGAGGAGAAAAAAAAAAAACAAAAAAGAAGAGAAAAAAGGGAAGATCTAGACTTTGGCTATCTCTGAATACTGATTGGCTTTTTTTTCATCTTTGATGTTGCAGGCTAGTCTATACCGAGGAGGGTACAGCCGCTTCACTCCCTACTAGCAAGACAGACCCAGCCCCCCCACCACTGCCCCCGATGCTCTCTAGCACCAAACCAAACCAGGCAGACAGAGCCGAGGCCGAGCCTGTGGAGGAGCCGTGGGTGCTGCCCAGGTGGCCGGGCTCTGTGGGGCCACAGCACCCCACACCCATAGGGTTACCTCAGCCGCTCCGTCCTGCCGCCTGCCCGCCTCTCCTGCACCATCCGCCCACCCCGGGGACCATGGGCAGCGGGGCCAGCCCTGAGCCCCAGCAGCGCCCTGTTCCCAGAGCCAGGCTGTGGGGTCCCCCCTGCCCTGGCTGGGGTGCAGAGTGCTCATCCCCCTGCCAGGCAGGCAGGGCTGCTCAGCCTGCAGGGATGCTCACTCCACAGGCACTGGGGCTCAGGATCACAGCAGCCCCCCAGGCAGCCCCTCTGCCCCCATAGGAGAGAGAGGAGCCAGCTGGGGTTGCTGCCAGCTGTGGGGCCTGACGAGGCTGGGGTGGGTTCGGGATCCTGGGGCGGGCTGCTCTGCGGAGCCGGGTGTGATGGGCTGGGCTGGGCTGGGCAGGAGCCCTGCTCTGCCAAGCTGGGTGTGATGGGCTGGGCTGGGCTGGTGCCTGCGTGCCCCCGGCCAGCAGCTCAGCCTGAACGCTCCATCGAAAGACCTGCCTCTCTTGTTTCTGTTGTAGTGAACCCGTGGCTGTTTCCTTCTGGGACCAGGAAGGGCAAAAATATCCACACACAAACACAAAAAAAAACAAAAGAACCCCAAAATATAAAAATTAAAAGCAAAGCAACAAAAAAAAAAAAAAAGAAAAAAAAAAGAAAAAAAAGAAAAACCAAACGAAAAAAAGAGAAACCAAGCCAAACGGCAGCAGCCAAGTGAGTCCCAGCTGTCCACACACACCGAGTGAGCGAGTCCCAGAGGAGCCGCGGCAAGCACCGGCGGTCGGATGCGCCGGAGGGACCCCCAGCGCCCCGGCCCCGCAGCCCAGCAGGGAGGGAGCCGGTGCAGGCAGGCGTGAGGGTCCGCGGGGGTCCGTGGGGTCCTCCCCCGCCCAGGTGCAGGGCCTGGGCGCCACGTCTTCCTTTCCCTGGTGCAGCAGCGCTGGGGGTGCCGGCAGAGCGCTGCGCCCTGCCCGGCTCGTGGGACCGGGTGACGGGGTGGGGACCTGGCTTGGTGCCACCCGAGCCCCAGCGCTGGTGGCCATCAGCGTGTCAAGCGTGTAAGGCCTCAGCTCCAGCGCAGAACTGGGGCAGTGGCACAGATGCGGTGCTGAGGTATTGCAGGGGATGACCCTCTGCCTTTTAAAGGGAATTTTTGTTAAGAGGAGCTTGCAACTCGCTTGTGACCCCTTCCCCTTCTTCCTCCCTCCTTCCCTGACACCTGCACTCCCACCCTGCCTGGACCAGCCCTGACCAAAGCTGGGCCAGGCGCTGCCCCAGTCCCACTCCCGCTCGCTCTGCGGCACGGGACACGCTCGTGGCCACCCGTCCCTGCCTGAGGCAGCGGGATGCCCCCAGCCCTGGGTGCGGGGTCTCGGCCTCTGCATCACCCACAAGGGATCCACCCAAGCTACGAGGCTGGGCTGCAGCTATAGGCACACTGGATGCAGTGTCCAGTGGCACAGGGCACTGTGGATGGCACAGGGCACTGTGGAACCCATCCCAGGGTGCAGCGCCGTCCCATGCCCTTCTGGCTCTGCCACTCCTCAAACCTCACTTTCTAGTCTGCAGATGCCCCCGACGCCCCAGCGATGAGCTCCCCGTTTTCTATTCCCAGTGTACATAGCCCCAGCCCTGCTCCCCTGTACAAAGCTCCGTCCATCGCTGTACTGGCTTCTCCCTTACAGCACCCCTGCGCCGCCCCAGCGTGTGGGCTGGCACTGGCCCATCCTGTATGCTTAAAAGTGTGACCATTCTAATAAACAGTATTATTATTATTATTATTATTATTATTATTATTATTATTACAAGGATTATTATTATTGAAATTATTAATAAAGATTTCTTTCTTCAACCAGGGCGACTCAGGTTTTGACTGGTTGCGTGGGGCCATTGCTGCTACAGTGGATCTGGCTGGGCAGAGGGCCACAGCCTGTGGGCAAGTGGGGAACCCTTGGGGTTCCCAGCCTCGCCATGGTGAGGGAGCAGGGTGCTGCATGAAGACCCCTCTCCTGGCTGGGCCTAGCCCTTCATTCTTCAAGCCATCAGGTAATGCATTCCTGAGTGCGTTCCCCACCTCAAGAGCAGCAGCTCCACTGCTGGCATTGGTGTCCCTGGCAGAGCCTGCATTGTCTGGGGACAGGGCTTGGGACCCCACTGAAGGAGTGCTCGACTGCTTCTGCCTGCTAATTGCTTGCTCACCAGACTGTGAGAAAATAATTGCTGCTATAAATTTTCTCTCCTCCTCACAAGATGCTCAGGGGAGGCAGCACAGGCTGGTGGCACTGGGCTGGGTCCACGTTAATGAGCACAGCGGCCACCCAGGCTGCTCCTCGGGGCTGCTGCAGAGCCCGTGCTGGCATCTCCCCACCAGGCTGAGCCCTGAGGGGGCTGTGCACCTTGGGGTCTTAGGGCCAGTATCCCCAGCCTGGGGGCAGACAGCTTGAGGCAGTAAGCGCTGCAGGAGCTGGTGGGGTTCTCAGGGCAGGTGCCCCAGTCTGGGGCTACACATGTTGGGGGCCCCTGCCAGTGGCTGGTCCGCACCCAGCGGGGCCCCACAGTGAGGGCTGAGGTCAAGCACGGGGGTGGAGGAAAAGGACTCACCAACCCAGGGTGATGAAATGCAGCCTCCCTCTGTGTCCCACGCCCACAGCCCACCTGCCACATGGAGGAGACACGGCACAGGCTGCACCACAGTTGCTTTAATGCCCATCTGAACTGGTGCCACTGCCTGGTGCGGAATAGACCAGCACGAGGCGGCCCCAGCGCTCAGGGTCCACAGGCAGCTCGTCCCGCAGAACCGGCTCCACCAGCAGCTCCAGCCGGCAGGACTGTCCGCGCGCCGGCTGTGGCACTGACAGCCCCACAGCACGGAACAGGCAGCCCTGCGCCAGCCCCAGCACCTGCAGCGCTGTCTGGCCCAGGCGGCACCGGGCGCCCTGGCTCAGGACACGGAACCATCTGGCACGGCCAGGCGGGAAGGACCAGCGCAGGGTGAGGCTGAGCGAAAGCTGCTCGGGCTCGGGGCCCTCCTGCCACCAGAGCTGCGAGGCCATCACGCTGTGCACCTGCGGTGGGGAGGCCGCCACACTGGCCGTGTCCAGCACCTGCGAGGGAACCGCAGCACTGTCAGGGTCAGGGAAGGCAGCCCCCACCTTCCCGGAACAAGGGGAGCACGGGGCAGGTGTCTCCACCAAGCCACAGCAGGCACTCACCCGGACCTCCCCGAGAAGGCAGGTGAAGGAGGTCTCCTGCGGGCTGGGCTGCTGGCGGGACACAATCAGGGAGAGGTCTCGCAGGCTGCAGTCCTGCAGCTCCAGCTCATAGCACCTGAGAGGGAATAGGCAGAGCAGGAGTGGTCGCAGGGAATCCTGGCATCCCATGCCTGCCTGTGGACACAGGATGCAAGCAGGGCACTCACCGGCTGGTCCAGCCATGGGAGCCACGGTGGCAGGCGGCGAGCAGCTTGGCGAGGCTGGGCGGCGGTGCCGGGAGGAACCGGGGGTGGTACCGGCCGTTGGGCTCTGCCAGAGAGGGCATTGGGTGAGGGACTGCAGCAGGTGCTCACTGCAGAGAGCATGGGGGGGCAGGGTCCTCACCAGGCAGGGAGGTAGGATTGCCCTCAAAGCACACCCCTGAGTCCCAGGTGGTGACCTCCAGTGCCACTGTGAAGTCATCAGGCTGTGGCCCCTCCAGCTTGTAGAGCATGGTCAGGAAGACCTTGGGGGGGGCCAGCATCTGCAAAGAGAAGAGGCTGATGACCCCAAATCCACCCAAAGAGAGACAGAGACAGAGAGAGAGAGACAAAGAGAAGGTGCATCGTGTTAGGTGTGCTGGGCAGTGCGGGCAGAGCCTGGGCACACTCGCCACCAGGCCCAGGGCAACACAGCTCGGGCCATGCAGGCCATGTCAGGCTGACATGGTGCCAGCCTGGCACTGAGGAGGGATAAAGGGCTTCGTCCCAACTCACCGGACAGCCACGCGTTCCTCGCCAGGGGGAATGGTCCCCTGCAGCTGCAGGGAGCTGCCCCCACACCAAGCATCCTGCAGGCAGCAGCTGGTGCTCAGCATGCCCTGGTGCTCTGGGTACAGTGGCTGGATGTCCTGCGCGCTCAGGTCGTACCAGGGCCCAGTCTCTTCATCCTACAGCACAGGAAGAGCTGAGCTGGGGGAGCCAAAAGAAGGGACCTCCCTGCCCAGCCCAGCCCAAGCTGACCAGAGCAGAGCTGTCACCCTGCACCCACCTTCCCGTCCAGAAATGTGCTGGTGCCCATGCCCAGGCTGAAGGAGGTGGTGAGGGGCAGTGTGCAAATGCTGTGGGTGGGCAGGTACTCTGCCAGCAAGCCCCAGAACCTGGAGGCAAAGGTGGGTGTCAGGGCAGAGACCCCTGTTATGGTCACTGCCCTGCACGGCCTTGAGTATCACCTCAGCTGGGGCAGAAAGGGGCCAGCTGCTCCTGATCAGCAGCCATTGTGTTCTGACAGCCACAGCATCCCTGTAGCTGTGTCCCACCAGCCCACAGCCTTCCTGAGTCAGGGCACTCCTAGCCCCGTTCCTCCCCCAGCACCCGCCCTGCTGAGCTGCCTCACCTGTTCTCGTTCTGCAGGAAGTTTTCCTTCCCCAGGTGCTCATAGACCCAGCCAGGAGCAAAGATGGCTGCAGAGAGGCCATACTGGCGGATCAGGCGCAGGGACTGCAGAAACAAGCAGTTAGCAGCATGGGCCAGGCCAGGTGGTCACCTTGTCCCCTGTCCTGTCCCCATTCCCCCCATGTTCCACTGGCCCCATGGGATTTGCCGCAGCATCTCCCTCTCCAGGGATGGCAGCAGTGGGATCTTTTCATGCATGGCCAGCATTCTGGGATCCCTCACTCCTCACCAGTTCATCCTCAGTTTAGCAGGCCAACACAGCACAGCCCAGCAGGGCCATCAGTGGGAGCTCAGAGCCCTGCACCAGGGAGGTCCAGGGTCGCACTCTGGCCCAGCCCTGTCACACCCACCTTGTAAGTGTCGAAGCCAGCACCAATCACATCCCCACGGCCAAAGACATCAACGCCGACATAGACGTCATTCAGGCGTGGACCAGCCAGCCTCTGTGTGCGCTCCAGCTGCTCCTCCTTCCAGTTGTAGTTGGTGAACAGCCCGTCACAGGCATCAAAGAACATCCTGGGGACGAGGGTCAGAGTGGCAGATGCTCTGGTCACACGTGGCATCACCAAGGCCGTGCAGGTTGTGCCTGATCACCGCCACACTGGGTTTGGGGTGGGCGGCTCATGCCCCCTACCTGGGGACAGGTTTGCCAGCCTCACCTGTTCGCATTGTTCAGCTCGTTCTGCCACCTCAGTGTGCCATCCTTCAGGACACTGTCATACCAGATCACCAGCCCGCCCGGCACGGCGCTGTGCACCCGCGCCGTCAGCTCCTGCAGGAAGAGGGGCAGGTTCCCCACCGCCGCTGCCTGCCAGGAGAGAGACACAGGTGGGTGAGGGCACAGGGCAGGGGCTCCCCACAGGAACAGCAAGAAGGCAGGGCAGTGAGCAGAAGCAGCAGGACTCACGCTCAGCGTGTTCTCTATGTTGATCAGCCAGCCGTCGAAGCGGTAGTGCTGGGCAATGCGGGCCAGCTGCTCGGCCACGGCGCCGTACGCCTCCTCCCCGCCGGCCAGGAACGCCTCGCACAGCTTCTCCCCGTCTGTCCACTCCGTGATGAATGTGCCTGCAGAGGCAGCCAGGGCAGCGTCAGCCGCACATCCTGGTGAATCCAGCTCACTGCTGGGGCTGCCTCAGGCTCAGCCCTGCCCCTACCCAGCACAGGGACACTGTTCCGGTGCGCTGCATTGGTCCAGACCACGGGCGGGATGGTGACAGTGTGGTGACTGAAGTAGACAAAGATGTCGATGTAGCGCCAGTGGTAGAAGACATAGGGGTTGCGTGTGGCCGAGCCCTGGATGAACCTGCAGAGGGAAAAGGGTTGGGCAGTACAGGAAGGACGCTGACAGATGCTGTGGAGCTGGGTAGAAGCCTGACTCACAGCCAGGAGCTGGGCAGAGCTGTGGCACTGAGCCACCTCTGAACATCCCAGCCTGAGCAAGGTTCCCCAAGCACTGTGCCAAACACCCCATCCCTGCTCACCTGTGGCTGAGCCGGCAGGAGACACGTCAGGCAGAAACAGAACTGCCTTGGGGTTTGAGATGTTGAAAGTCCCTTCCACTTCCCACCTAGCACGTACCTGTCCTCCAAGTACCCGCCACGCATGTCGTGGCACACCAGTGTCCGGGGCCTGCTGCTGAGGAGCGGGGGCTGGCGCTTGGCCAGAGGCACGGCTGACACATTGAAGTCATCGTTGCTGTTGGGCTGCCAGGCCAGCAGCTCCTCCAGGCCGGTCAAGAAGAAGCTGATGGGCTCCGTGGTCTTCGTGTCGAAGTACCTTGCTGGGAAGGATGGGGAGGCGGGGCAGGGTCAGCAGTGAGCACTGCCTGTGCAGCTCGGTCGGCACCGACACCGTCCCCATCCGGCGGGGCCCAGGCGTGGGCCGGCCCCTGTCCCGGTGCCTCACCTGGCAGGGGCTGCGGGCGGTCGCTGATGGTGTCGTGCAGGACCGTGGTTCCCTGGATGTCCGCCGCCGGCTGCAAGCTGCCCCGGGAGGTGGATGAGGGCCGGGCTCGGCCAGCACCGCGGCCAGCGCCGACCTCCCCATCCCGGTCCCGGTCCCGGACCCCATCCCGGTCCCGGTCCCGGACCCCATGCCCATCCCCATCCCGGTCCCGGACACGATCGCGGCCTCGGCCCGGCCCCCGCCATCCACCTCCGCCGCCGCCGCGCGGCCCGCTCCGCCTCCGCCGGCTCCTCCGCCGCGGCCCCGGGCTCCGCTCCCGTCCTCTTCCCGCGGCGCGCCGGCCCCTCCGCCGCCTCCGCCGCCTCCGCCATGGCGCTGCCGCCGCCGCCGCTGCCGCTGCCGCACTGACGGCGGCGCCGCCGCCGCCGGGCCCGGCTCTACCGGGGGCGCGGTCCCGGAGCTCCGCCCGCCCGGCCCCGGCACCGCCCGCCGCCGTGTCCTGGGGCGGGGTGTCCCGGGATGGACCGCGTGTCCCGGGTTAGGGACGTGTGCCCCGGGCCGGGCTGCATGCTCGGAACAAACCGCATGCCTCTGAATGGATTGCGTGTCCTGGGGTAGAGCGCTGTGCCAGGTCGGGAATCCCTGTGCCGGGGTGCCGCCTGTGTCCATAACTGCCCTGAAGTCTGGGATGGAGGTGGTACCTGGTTCCCAGAGGCCACTGTGGCCAAGGAGCTTTGCCCATGCCACGGTACAGGGCTGAGGCCCTGAGCTGATGCTCCCACCCCACAGGCATAGCAGTGAACGGCCTAATCTGCCTCACTTGGCCCCCACCATCCGCCCACTCCCCACATGTGGGGCCAGGGCTCTATTTAAGGTCATCCCGAGAGCCCCAACCCAGTCCCCTCCCTCCTGTGCTTGAGGTGCTGGTTTCCAGCTGCAGCATTGCTCAGCCTAGCCACGGAGCTGCCAATCCAGACCCTGACACCCAGCTTCACCTCAGACCTACCTCCTCTCCATGGATGTGCTGGATAACCTGCACTTGTGACAACCCTGCCACCCTTCCCAGCCTGTTCTGTTCCCAGGCTGACAGTTCTGTCATGCACGCAGCTCCTTGGGGCGCAGCTGGCCCATGCAGTGCCTGGCACACGTCTCCCAACTCTCCAGGGACAGTTTGCTCTTCCCTTTCCATCCCCAGCTCAGCAGCACCATGCCAGCCCTCAGCTCTTGGGGAGCCCCGGCACCCCAGGAGCAGAACCTTGCCCTGAATCACTTGGAGCCTCTCCACACACAAAACAAGAGGACACTGAGGGTGCGAGCAAGGCTGGAAATGTGAGGTGTTTAATGTGGCATGAGCTGAATGAGGGGGTCAGCATGCTGGCCCATGCTGCTGCTGCATCTACACAAACAGGGGGCCTGGCCAGCAGATAACCTAAGGGAAGAGGAAGTGGCTGAGGCCAGAGGCCTCACACCCAGGGCTGCTGGTGGGGAGAGAGCCCTTCCTGAGCAGAGGCTGCAGTGAGCAGCAACAGAATCTGCAGAGGGAACTGATGCAACTCACTCCCCACAGGGGGACCCAGCCCCCCACTGCAACACCTGCACGGGGGAAGGAAGGAGGCCCTTAGTGGTTTATTGCCTTTCTGGATGGTGCTGAGCACCTTCTGCCCATTCCAGCCAGGGAGCACAGCCAGGAGCCAGGAGGTGAGCACGGCACAATGCAGGTGTCTGCACTGCCTCGCACCAGGGCACCAGCGGCCACACCGTCCTGCTGTGCCAGCTCAGCCAGAGCTGTGACAGGCTGAGCCTGGCAAACCCAGCTCTGGAGCAGGGAGAAGGGGTGAGCTCCCTGCCCACCCCAGGTGAGCAGCTTCTTCCTGGTCAGTAACGTGGCAGGGGCTTACAATTGCTCCAACTCTTCCAGGGGTGTGTGGTTAGCCTTGAGGTGCTGGAGTGAGGGAATTCACACACTGGTGCAGCTGCTGGGGGTAGTGGCACTAGGGTGACTAACAGCATAATGGGGGTGGCACTCCTGCGATGAGAGGGACAGGGGCTCCTCGGCCACCTGGCCTGGCACAGGAGTGGGAGGGCCCGGTGCTCAGGGGTCCCCGCTGTACTTGATGAGGTGGCCACTGAAGGTGATGTAGGTGTCGTACTCGTCGCTGAAGACGGCATTCTCACGCTCACCCTTGTAGAGCCGTACCCAGACCTCATCTTGCTCCTTCAGCTCCAGCATGACGCTCTGGCTCTGCATGATGCTGCGGTCGCTCACCTGGGCGTAGAGGATCACCACCTCCGCCCCGTTGCGCATGATGTGCAGGTATGTCTCCTTCTGGTTCCAGGTGTGCACGTTGAGGCTGAAGTAGTAGATCCCAGGGATGTAGCAGTAAAACTTGCCCGTGAACATGTTGAAGTGGTCGTAGAGGTTGACAAACTCCGTGTCAAAGATAAGGGTCTGGTAGTAGTCGTTACTGTGCAGGGGTTTCTTGCGGCCCACGGAGAAGGCGGCGTAGTGGCTCTTGCAGCGCTCCCCAGGGGCGCCCATGCTGCCCTTCTGTCCCTTGGGCCCTGCGTGGCCCCTGCTGCCGGCCACCCCCGTCTTGCCGAACTTGCCCTGCATGCCACGCTCACCGCGGTCCCCCTTCTCTCCTGGGCGGAGCAGGAGGGAGAGTTGGGCTGTCAGGCAGGAGCCAGAGCTGAACCCAGCACCCCAAAAGCCCCTTCCCCAGAGGGGGATGGAAGGAGCAGGGACCCACCAGTCCTGCCCCTGCCCCTCCCCAGGCTCTGATGTTGCTGCCTAGAAGCCACCAGAACAGGGGCTGCTCACACCCAAGTGTGGCTCCTGCCCTGTCTGTGCAGGACACAGAACCACTGGCACCAACCCCATTTTCTCATTCCCAGTCTGTGCAGGAGCTGGCACTGTGAGCCCAGCTCAGCACTGGACCTGGGGCAACGCTGGCAACACAGCCTGAGGTCCTGCCAGCCCTCACCTTTCAGGATGGTCATGTTGATCTGAGGCACGGGCTGGTACTGGGGGTAGAAGCGCTTTTCGGGTGGGGGGCAGCAGCGGACACAGTGGGGCTGTGGGGGCAGCCCCTCCTGGGCATCATCAACCTTCTGCTCCTGTGTGGCCCTGGCAAAGCAGAAAGCAAAGTGCAACAGGCAGCTGTGGGGGGTGGGACCCCTCTCCGGGGCCAGGGCTGCCCTGGCCCCCGCTGCAGAGCACCCTGGCTCTGGGGTCCCCTCACCTGGCAGCTTGGTGCTGGGATGGGGCCTCATTGGGGTCTGTCCACCATCGCTGGGCAGGGATGGAGCTGGTCTGGCTCCCCACAGGGCAGGGCAGCAGGAAGATCAGCAGGACACCGTGCACCCACAGCCCCTCCATGCCTTGGCAGTGCCCTGTGAGGTGCCAGGGACAGCTGAGGGGGATAGGAAAGAGGAGACTCCCAGCCCAGCCATGCCCCAAGCTGTCCTGGGACAGGACCTGTGCACTGCACAGCCCCTGGGGTCTGGCTGGGCTATGGAACAGTGTCACCCCAGTGAGCACCTGTGGAGACCCACATTGGGGCAGTTAGGGGGCTCTGGCCTCACCAACATGTGCAATCCCTGAGCCCTGGCACGTACAGCAGATGGGATTACCTCAGGAACTGAGAGTGGAGCAGAGCAGCAGAGCAGCAGCCTCTGAGCAGGCCAAGTCCTGGACCAAGTGCTGCTGCTCCTGCTCAGCCTGGCTTCAGCTGCCTCCCATAGATACCCAAGAACAGCAATTTTGGATGTCAGCTCCTAAAAAATTACAGAGAGCTCCAGATGCCATGGGGCAAATGTCAGGGTGCAGCCCGACCTGTGTGTGGGACCCCAGCTGGGCCCAGAGAGGGCAGCTGCACCCCACTCCTGTGAGGGGCTCCTGTGCCCTGGGGGCTGCCAGCCCAAGGGTTTGCAAGGGGGCAACACCCACTCTTCCAGAAAGAGGGATGTGGGCTGGCAGCCCTATCGGGGAGCTGGCTGAAACCTTTCCAAAAGCCCACACCCTGTATGGGGCCAAAACTAATATTTGCAGTGGTGGTGGCACTGTGGCCCAGCCCGGGGACTTCACGACCCCTCCCTCTATTATCAGGACCGTATCGGCTGGAAACGTGGGGCCGGGCACGCAGCACCTCGCCCTTCGGCCCGGTGGCACCGGGACAGCCCTGGCCAAACAGGGGTGTAGCAGTGCCAGCGCCGGGCATCCCGCGGCAGCGGGCTCCGAGCCGGGACGGGGCTGGCCGCTGCCCAGGCTGCTATCGAGCCAGGTGCCTCCCTGGGTTGGGCCATGGGTGTGGCCTTGGCCCTTGTCCCCTCCCAAGCAGCGCCCGGCCGGACTCCCCGGGCCCTGCCACCACCCCGGAGCGCCGCTCCCACGGCGCAAAGCGCTCTCTCAGCCCTGTCCCGTGTTTTGCGGCCGAGCCGGGCCATGACGGATTTTGGGGCAGAACCCCGTGGTTTTGGTGAGCGCCTGCTCTCAGAGCAGCGGGGTCTCCAGTCGGTGGTCGGTGGCTGTCACACTGTCCCGGGTGCGGGTCCGAGGGACCGCGTGCGCTCCCGCAGCGGGTGCGGAGGGGTCTGAGGCGGGGCCGGATGCGTGGGTTATGAGTCACTGGAGCTGTGAAGGGGCGGAGGGATTGGGAAAGGCTCCAAAGGGCTTTTCCTGCCTCTCAAACCCTCTGCCAAGGGCCTGGCCCCGGCATACACTTCCCGGTGTCTCTGTCTCTCACCCCGCTGCCTCGGTGCTGCCAGGTGTGGAGGGAGGCAGGGGAGAAGTGGATCCAGAGCGTGGAGGAGGCCAGCCAGGGCCTTGTGGGCAGCCTTGGCCCTGGCTCTGCTCAGCCTGCCGGGCCTCCAGCTGTGCCAGGCCTCCAGCTGTGCCAGGCCTCCAGCTGTGCCGGGCCTCCAGCTGTGCCGGACGCACAGCACCGAGCACGGCACGGGCATGCAGGGGTTTGGGAAGCCTGTGGCTTTCCCTCAGCTCTGGGACCATCACGCCAGGCATTCCTCTGGGACCTGCAGCAGGCTTGGCCCCGGGGAAAATGCAGTGTCACGTTCTCCACGAGGAGAAACCCTTCACCAGGAAGTTCCCATGGTGGAAGGCAGTGTTTCCCAGGCTGTTGGGAGCAGAGGCGAGGGTGCGGTGCACGCAGGCTGCTGTCAGCAGCACACGGGGTTTGCTGGGCCCCCAGCATGCCCCCACTGTACCCTGCAGGTGTTCTGGGCGGGAGGTGCCCGCCTGCACACAGGCGTACATGCCCTGCCAGGGACATGCATTTTCCCTCAGCGATGGCTGCTCTCCAGGAGCAAAGATTTAAACACAGTGGCTGCAGAAGCCTTGGGACTGCAAGTCAAAACATCCCAGAATACTTTCCAGATGGAGATGAAGACTAGGATGAAACTGAACCTAGGGGAGGGATGAGGGGCTTGGGGCGGTGTGGAGGCAGCAGTACCTGCAATAGTCCTTGTTTAGGGTGGTGGACACAAACTTCCCTGCACCACAGCAGCCAGAACCATTGTGCCTCTGGGGTCCTGCTGGTGGGCCAGGTCCCCCGTATGCTGCTGCTGATGTTGGAATAGTTACAGAACCCTTTTTCCCCTGGAGCAGGGCAGAGCCAGCAGGCAGCAGGGTGGGGGCTGCATGGGGCAGATGTGGGGAAGGAGCCCGGGGTACTTGCAGCCCTCCAACTTCTGTAGCACCAGCAAGATGTTGTGCTGGGGACCCCAACAGCTACTGTGACCCCCAAAGTGATGCCGAAGGTGGCCCAGCATGGGCTTGATGTGGTCGTAGCCATGGGTTTTTCGGGAATACCACTGGGGCAGGGCTGGGGGGGATCTGTGTCCTCCCAGAGCTGCGGTGGGTCGGGCTGTGCCCCAGACTACTGTAAGGCTCAACCATGTGGTTCCCACTGCTCCTTCGCAGGCAGGGCAACGGCCTGGCTCGGCTGGGGGGGCTCAGGGACCGACCCGCCTGGCTGGGCTTGTGCAAGGACGCCGGAGCGCTTGGCGAAGCGGACCCGCCTCCCGGTACCTCGGCACCGCCTGCAGACGGGAGCACGGCCCTGCAGCTCCGGGGGCGAACGTCAGGCCTCCCGCAGCTGCCCCCCACCTACCTCTGGGGCACGGCTTCTCCCTCGCGACGCTGCCTTTGCTGCCCTAGAGCATCGCCCGGGCCAGCGCAGAACGTGCCCACGGCCGAGCGCTGCCTCCCGCTCCGGAGCCGCCTCTCCCCGTTTGGCCCGGGCGGAAATACACTTTCTGGAAGCGCAGGAGGCAGCGAGGCGCGGGACGAGGCTCGCAGCCCTCCCCCGCCAGATGTGCGCCCGCGGCTGCCTTAACCATGCGTGCTCCCGGTACCGGCCGCCTCAGCCCTTCGGGGCCGCCGCACCGGGAGCGGCGGCGGCACGTGCCAGCCGGAGGGTGCAGCTCGCCCCGGCGCAGCACCCTGCCCTGTGCCGGCGGCGCCGAGGCCGTTCTCAGCCCCGAGGGCACCGCGGCCAGCACGGCCCCACCGGTCTCCAGCCTTTGACAGCCGGACACGTACACGGGTCCCAAGGCGCGGGGCCGGGTCTGCCCCGCTCCCCACCCCGACTAGCGGCGGGACACATGGGGCAACCAGGACACGGACAGAGTGTGTTGCGAGCTGGAGCAGGGCAGGGCGGGGGTGATGCCCGCAGGGCAGCCGGGCTCTGCCCACCCCGCAGAGCCGGCTCGGCCCCCGCACTGCTCCCGCCGCTGGGCTCCAGCCGCCCGCGCGGTGTGCCCGGCTCCGGCGGGCCGTGCTCGGCACGGACCACAGCTCCCGGCAGGCCCCGCGGCGCAGCGGGCGGGGCGGTGCGAGGCGGTGACTCTCGGGCTCTCCTGGGAGTTGTAGTTTCTGCGCCAGACGGGGCGGTCTGGCCGCTGCCAGGGGCGGCGCGCGGGGCCGCCGGGAACTGTAGGCGGTGGCGGCGGCGGCTGCGCGCGGGGGAGGCGGCGCCGCGGTGAGCGGGGACACGGGCGGGTGGCGCGGGGCGCCGGGCCGGCAGGCGGGGGTCCGCACCGGACGGGGGCACCGCGGACCTCGAGCACCCTGCCCGGGCGGCAGTGGTGGGCTCCTCGGGGCTACGCCCCGCGCGGAGGTCCCGGGGGCGCGGGGGACCTCAGGCCGCGCTCAGTGCGGGCGGTGCCCCGGCTGCCGGTCAGCTCGGCCGGGGAGGGGGCGCGAGGGTCCCCAAGGGCGCGCCCGGCGGAGGCGGGAGTCCCCGCGTCCCCGTGCCCGTGCCCCGGCATTTTGAGGGTTCCCCGTGGCCGCGCTCAGAGCGGGCTACAAACGCGGTGGGGGTCAGTGCACCGAGAGGGGTCCCCGGGGCTCTGCCGAGGCCCACGCTCCGGGATGCCGCAGGACGAGAAGCGCTCCCGTGCCCCCAGCGTGGGCTCCGTGCCTGTGCCGCAGCTCCCCTGTCCGGGGCCGGCCCCCCACATTCAACGCCGCCTCTGTTTGCCACTCTGGCTGCTGAAAGGCAGATTGAGACCCTGCGGGATGGGCCCTTTGTGGAAAGCCCTGGGATGGCAGCTGGGGATCTCTGCCCCGGGATGGGGGTCTCTGCACCGGGCAGCATGGCACGGGCTGAGCACGGTGCCAGGGATGGCTGCTTGCCGGCGGGGCAGCTCGGAGTGCCCGTCTGCGGGAGCCCGGGGCGCTGCCACGTCCTCTGTGCTGCAGGGAGGGAGGTGGCACTGCTGGCACCCCGGGCCCGCGGGTGGGCACAGCCCGGGGTGGGCTCACGATGATCACACGTGGAGGACACGCTGTGAGCCTGGGCAGGGATGAAGGGGTCCCGTGTCTGTGAGGTTGGGCAGGTCAGGATGTGTCCCTTGGGCACTGCACTTCCTGCTCAGGTGTTGGCATCCTGCTTGGGCGGAGCTGCCACGTGTCTCTCAAGTGTCCCTGTGTGGCTTGGGGACAAGCTCACGGCTCATCAGTGCGGTCGGTTCTCAGGGCCATGTGAGCTGGGCCAGGCTGCTCAACCACTCTGGAGGCAGCAAGGGTCATCCTTGCCTGAGGGGAGCCCACTTCCTCCGAGGAGCCTGTGTGGACACTGTGACATGGGGCTCGCCTTGAGCCGGGTGCCTCAGCTCGCTGCCTGAGCTGCAGTGACCATGGCACATGTAGAGGTGCTGAGCAGGTTGTGCAATCCTGCCAAGACGCTGGGGCTCCTGGTCAGGGGGCGCAGAGGGAGCCAGGTGAGAGGGGCTGAGGGTGGTTCCAGCAGCAAAGAGCCCCTGGGCATGGTGGCTCGTACCTGCATGAGGTGGGAGCACCTTCTGCAGCAGGAGAGGGGATGGGGCCCCTCGTGGCTGTGTTCTGCTGTTCCCCCAGCTCAAGCAGCACCAAATCAGCTCTTCTCTCTCCCCTCTTTCCAGCAGGTTCTCCTTGCCCCCTGTCTGATGCCAGTCCCCCCCTGCCATGAGTCTATGAGCCCCCTCCGGATCAGCGTGGGTGGTCTGCCTGTCCTCGCGTCCATGACCAAGGGTGCTGACCCGCGCTTCCGACCGCGCTGGAAGGCCATTGTGCTGTCCTCAGCCTGCGTGGGGCTTGTGCTGTTCCTCCTCTGCCTGCACCGTTCCTCCCCAGCACGGCACGGCCCCCCCAGCCCTCGCACCTGGCAGCTTGGCCTGCAGGCAGGGGACCGCTACAATGACACCTACCCGCTGTCCCCTCCGCAGAGAAACCCCGAGGGCGTACGCTACCGCATCGGCATCATTGCAGACCTGGACACTCAGTCCCGGAGCTCCCAGGAGCACACCTGGTTCAGTTACCTGAAGAAGGGCTACCTGGTACTGTCAGACAGTGGGGACAAAGTGATGGTGGAGTGGGACAAGGATGAGAGCATGCTGCAGTCCCACTTGGCTGAGAAGGGCCGGGGCATGGAGCTCTCAGAGCTCGTGGTTTTCAACGGGAAGCTGTATGCAGTGGATGACCGGACAGGTGTGGTCTACCAGATCGAGGGCAATAAGGTGGTACCTTGGGTGATCCTCCCAGATGGGGACGGCACTGTGGGCAAAGGTGAGCTCCCATTCTATCCTGTGAAGCCCTTGGCACTTTTCACCTCGCTGGGGTGGGGCACACCTTTCCTGTGACCTCTGAGCCTGGCCAAGAGAGGGCATTTCCTGCCAAGAGACCAGCTGGCTGTATGGGGGACGCTGTGCCCGGCACTGGGCTCAGGGGGTTTGGGGCATGTGGGACAGTCTGATGGCCACGTGCTGACTGAGCCCCCTCATGCCATTCTTTCCACCACAGGCTTCAAGGCAGAGTGGCTGGCAGTGAAGGATGAGCACCTGTATGTAGGAGGACTGGGCAAGGAGTGGACCACCACCACAGGGGAAGTGGTGAATGAGAATCCCCAGTGGGTGAAGGTCATTGGCTACAAGGGTGATGTGAGCCATGAAAACTGGGTGACAAACTACAACATGCTGAGGGCTGCAGCGGGGATCCGGCCCCCAGGTATGGAGCAGGGCATCCTGCCACCCAATATCCCACACTCTTGATGGCTCCAGAGCCATAAAGTCACCCTTCCCAGGGATACCGGCACTGGGTGAGATTTAAAGGCTGCCGGAGGCCAGATATCTCCCCTTGTCCTGGTCGTTTTCCTCTGCTGCCTGTGCCAGGAGCATCTGAAGTGTGGCTCAGTTGTCATTGGGCCTGGCAGCTGGGCTCCCAGGCAGACTGGGATGTGCTGGGTGGCCCTGCCTGACTCTGGGAGGAACTTGGGGGGCTGTTGCCAGGCAGTGGGGCAGGATCAGGCAAAAAAGTTTATAGAGGATACCTGTGCGGGGCTGTGGGGTGTTTTGGAGGGGAAGGAGGAGAGGAGGGGGAGGGTCCCATCCCGGCGTGGCTGTGGCCTGTGTGGTCAGACTCCGCTTCCTGCCGCAGGGTACCTGATCCATGAGTCGGCCTCCTGGAGTGACACGCTGCAGCGCTGGTTCTTCCTGCCGCGCCGCGCCAGCCACGAGCGCTACAGCGAGAAGGCGGACGAGCAGCGAGGCACCAACCTGCTGCTCAGCTCCACCCAGGACTTCGGGGATGTGACAGTGGGGCGTGTGGGCGACGTGGTTCCCACCCATGGCTTCTCCTCCTTCAAGTTCATCCCGGACACGGACGACCAGATCATTGTGGCACTAAAATCAGAAGAGGACAATGGCAAGATCTCCAGCTACATCATGGCCTTCACACTGGATGGGCGCTTCCTCCTGCCCGAGACCAGGATTGGGAGTGTGAAGTATGAGGGCATTGAGTTTATTTAACAGATATCTGCAGCGAGTGGAGGCACGCGGGCAGCTTAGGGACATGGGCAGGCCCTGCTAGCCTGCTCCTAGCCCGGGGTCCATGAGGGATGTCAGGCAGTGCTCCCAGCTGTGTCCTTGGCCCTGCGCTCTCCTGTAAAGTGTTGACTGAGCTGCAGCAGGTGTGGTGCAAGTGTTTCGGCAGTGGCACCTGGTGGCAATGGACCGCCACCACAGGGTGCTCCCGGCCCCAGGACAGTGTCCAGGTCCTGGAGTGCTGGTGCCTAGGCAGACCCCACTGCAGCCCTTAGTGCCCAGCCCTGAATTGCGACAGAGCCATCTGCAGTGGGTCAGTGGCTCTGGTGACGTCCCTGTTCTGGGGTTGCATCTGAGCCCCAGCTCTACAGCTGTGCCTTGTGCGCCATGGGGCTCCCTGGGTGGAGGGGGTGTGCAGCCTGAGCAGGTCAGATTGTGGGGATTTCATCAGGCTTTTACTTCAGAAGCTGGATTTCCTTCCCTTTTCCGATAAGCTGGATGGGGTGATGGCTGGGGTGGCGGGTGGCCTGTTTCAGAGAAAAGTCCCGCATGGGAGGGGACATTGTCTGTGTCCCTTTGCTCCTGTGACCACGGAGGATGCAGTAGTTCCCTCACCGCTGTGGCTGTGCCTATGGGGCAGGGGATGTGGGTAATGGGGCGGGGGGTGATATAAAGTGGGCCCATCCTGGTGCCATTCCCAGACCACACCCTCAAGAGGTGTGTGTGTGTGTGCTGGCTGTCTTCTCCAAGGCCTGGCTGCACATGGCTCCGACCCCAGAAATGCTTCCCGCCCCAGAACTGTCAGCTCTGGGAAGAGCCAAGCCCTGGACAGGAACTGCTGGGAGCTGGCGACAGTGCAGCCATGCTGTCCAAGGGCTGCTGTGCTCGATGCAGGAGCAGAGCCAGGAGCTGCAGTTCTGCTTGCCAGAGCTGGCAGCAGCTGAGAAGCACTTGCAGCAGCCCAGGGTTTTGGCCAGGGAGCCCTCCCCATGCTCGCCAGCATGTTGTGAAATTGCTGCTGCAGCCTGTGGCCCCCAGGAAGGACTTGTGTGGTTTCAGAAGCCACAAGTGTCAAAGGGGCATCTGCTAGCCCCAGGACCCTCCTGACCCCTCTGACCAAGGAGGCTGTGGCTCCTGGCCTGCCCAGACTGACCTGGCTCAGGTCTGCCCTGCCCCAGGTCACAGGGCAGCATATCCTCACACCAGGACCAGTGTTTGGCTCTGTTGTGTCCCCACTTTGTTCCTTTTTAACACTTCCCCTAGGGCAGGTCTGCCAGCAAGCAGGGCTTCAGAGAGCTGGCCACTGTGGTTTGGGGGGCCCTTGTGCCCCCTGTATCCCTCTGCCATGCCCTGGCACTGCTCTGCTGTGGGGTCCAGCCATGCACAGGGAGGGAGAGGGGCTGTCGGTGCAGCAGTCAGGCTGTGGTTGGGTGGAAGGATCCACAGAGTGGTTGGGGCCCTCCCAAGAACGCAGCCAGGCTGCTCCCCCCAGCCCTGTTTACAGTGTCAGCACCTCTGAGAGCCGTGCAGAGCCCTGCAGGCCAGACATGTGTTTTCATTTAGCCCAGACGATGACTCGGCCAGTGCTGGGCTGCACTTGTCTCTAGACAGGACCTGTCCCCAGTGCTGCAGACAGGCCTGGCTTTGGCCCCTGCACATGGCCTGGGGATCATGGAGCACCTGGCCCAGAGCACCCAGGATGCATTTGCAGCTCACACTGGGCGCCAGCTGGCCACAGTCCATGATGGCCACTCGAGCGTCACTGGCACTTGTCTTGGCAGTCTCTCCTGGCCTCACTCACCCTCCTCAGCAGCATCAGCAGCTCCACAGCACCTGTTGTGGTCCCAGGGCTGTGCCAGTGGCTGTCCCTGCTACCTGGTCCCTTCTTGTCCCCCGGGCCCCTGCCCGGAGCAGTGCTCTACCCTCAGAGCAGCAGCACCAACGCCTCAGGCAGCTGAGCCAGCAGGAGTCCTGCTGCTGCTGGGACCTCTGCAGACCGTGAGCCCCACAGAGGAGTTGGCAACATGGGTCCCCATCTCCAGGTGTCACCCAGCATCCCAGCGCTGTCAGTGCTGTCAGCTCCCATGTGTTCCCTGCAGGCTCAGGCAGGGTTTGGGCCAGGTCCAGCTGCCCTGTTGTGCTGTTTCTTCTCACCCTGGAGGCTGAGCACCTCTATTACCTCCCTCTACTGCATGGCATGGCAGTGCTGTGGCAAGAGGCTGGCTCAGGAGCATATTTTGTGGCCATGGTGGTGGCTGTCCTGCCAACACATGCCCATGCCTAGCTGTGCTCGAACGCTTGTGTCCCTGCCTGCTCTGCTGGGACAAATGCACTGCTGGGGAAATGGAGCACTCTCAGCAGCCAGCCAGGCACAGAGTACAGTGACAGCAGCAGCATCCTGACACCTCCACGGTGACACAGTGAGTGGGTTTGGACTGGGGTAGTCTGTTTTTCCATATTATATGTGTAATATGGTGTAGGACGGTGTTTTGGATTTGTGCTGGGAACAGGGTTGGTAACAGCAATGTTTTCATCACTGCTGAGCAGCATTTTCACAGCTTGAGGCCTTGTTCTGCTCTTCATCCCAGCAGTGAGGGGCCGGGGGGGGCACAAAGAGTCAAGAGGGGACTCAGAACAGCTGACCCAAAGGCTATTCCACACTGTATGGAATCATACTTGGCATATAGAGCTGGGGGAAGAAGGAGGGAGAGGGGGACATTTGGAGTGGTGGTGTTTGTCTTCCCAAATCACCATCACATGCTGGAGCCCAGCTGCCCTGGGGATGGCTCAGCACCTGCCTGCCCTGGGGAGGGGTGAAAGAATTCCCTGCTTTGCTTTGCTTATGTGTAGCTTTTGCTTCACATTTATCTCAGCCAGCAGTTTTCTTACTTTCCCCTTCCCAGTTCTCTCACCACCCCTCTGGGAAGAAGGAAGCAAATGCAGCTGGGGGCTGAGCTGCCGCTGGGGTTAAACCCCATCATGCATCCAGGATAGAGACAAGATGGTTTTTGGAGCTGTGCTCCAGGGTAGGAGCTGCTGCCATGGAGAGAGGCCCGAGGCCTGGGGCAGGTCGCTGTGGCACAGGAGCCCCAGTGGAAGCAGGCAGGGGAACTCGGGTGTGGGATAAGCTAGGGTGGAGGGGCCGAAGGTGGGGAGGAATTCTCGGGCACAGCCAGAACTGATGCCTGTCCAACCGCCAGTTGGTCGGACACTGCTCTACTACGGGCGGGGGTCCGGGGCGGCGGGTCCGGGAGCGATGGGGCCGGGGGGGCTGGCGGGATGCGCCGGGGCGGGGGCGGCCGGTGCCCGCGGCGGGGGCCGTGCCGGGGCGGGGGCAGCGGTAGCGGCGGAGCCGCATCCCGCGGAGGGCGGGCGCAGCCGGGCTGGCCCCGCGCCACGCGGAGGAGGAGCAGCAGATCCCCGGAGCACGTTAAAGAGGGAGGCCGAGCGCGGCGGGGAGGAAGCGAACGGCTCCGTGAAGGCAACGGAGCGGCGGCCGCAGAGCGCCCGCCCCGGCCGGACCCAAGTTCCCGGCGGCGGCTCGGCCGGGCCCGGCGGTGGGTGCGGGATCGGGGCCGGGTGGCCGCGCCCGCAGCCCCGCACCATGCCCGCCGCGCTGCCCAGCCTGCTGGCCTGGCTGGCGGTGTTGCTGCTCGGCAGGGCCCGCCCGGCCGACGCCTGCAGCTGCTCGCCCATCCACCCGCAACAGGCCTTCTGCAACGCCGACGTAGGTGAGCGCCGCGGGGAACCCCGCCCCGAGCCCCCCGAGCCCCCGCCCGGCCCCGCCCGCGCCAACTTCGCGGCGGGGGAAGGAGCGGAAAGTTGGCGCGGGGCGGGCGGAGAGCGGGCAGAGCCCCCCGGGCCCGGCACCCGCCCGCGCCGCCCGCCGACCCGGGGGTGTGTCGGCGGGTGCAGATGCGCGGCCGGGCTCGGTCCCTCCGTGCGGGCCCTGCCCGTCCCACCCCGCACCGCCTCCCGCCGTCTCGGGGGGGCTCCCGCGCCCGGCATTGCTCCCGGGGGCGCCTCCGCCGCTGCGAGGGGCGACCGGAGCGCGGCTACGCCGGGGCCGCGTCCCCGCTGGTCGCTCTCCGGTGAATGACACGGGTGGGCCCGGCCTCCCCCGACTCTGATGACCCGGCGAGGTACGTGGCAGCGCGGGGCTGGGGCCCGAGGGCGACCAGGACCCTCCAAGTGCGGCCACGGCACCGGCCCGGGGCCCGGAGGAGCCCCTGTCCCCGGCAGCTGCCGCCACGGCTCGGTCACCCCTGTCTGCGCCTTCCAGGCATTTCCTTTCCCCCCGTCCCACTTTGTTCGGCTTGGATGCTGCTAAAAGGGAGGGCTTGGCAGCACCGGGGTCTGGATTCCTCTTTCAATGAATAATGCCCTTATTAAATTTTAACATATGAACTGAACAGGCCGGCCCCAGTTCCCAGCACTTTCCTTCGCGGGCCTGTTCCCAGACTCAGCTGGAGAGGTAACATTCCCAAACACTGAGGCAGCCCCAGCCTCTGAATGGCCCTGCCCTGTCCCCTGCTCCAGATCCAGGATGTTCCTCACAGGCGTCCTATCCAGACCCCACTCCCAGCGTCTTTCCTCCGGGAGGGCAACTCCCACAGCACTTGGCTGCTGCCTCGGGTGCCCTGCCTTGCCACAAGGCGTGTTGGGGACAGGAAGGTTTTGAGACAAAATGGAGCACTGGGTTTTTGTAGCTGCTGCTGGAGCTGGTGTCCCTAGCCCACAGGATGCCTTGTGCCTGCTCGGGCGGTGCGGCTGTGGCTTCCCATCACGCTCCTGTCAGGATCAGTTTTCGGGGCACTCGTGACTCACTGCCCGTCGTGGGGTGCCGGCTCAGCCCTGACTCAACTGCTGAGTCACTCACTGTCTGTCTGTCTTGGCGGCCCTGCTGTCTGCACCGTCCCCGGGAGGGCACTGCCTCGCTGAGCTCTGATCTCCAGCTGCCCTGCTGCCCTCAATCAACAGGTGCCCGTCCTGCAGGCACCCGGAGCCTGTCCTGCCGAGACAGCGTCCTCCCAGGCACACTGCCGGCAGCGCTGGCACCTTCTGGCTCCCAGCCCAAGTCACTTGTGCAGCTTCGTGTCGGCCTGAGTGAAAACCGTGCTGGGCTTGGGGACAGATTGGGGCACAACCTGGGATGGTCCTGTGTGCCCTGGCCTTTTACTGCTGCTTATCTTCCCCCTGGATGCTCTCTGGAGTTGGGATGTTCCTCAGCCAGTTCCATTCCAGCAGATGTGTGGAGTCCAGGGAGAACCTGGGCCCCTGGTACTGCTGGCACCTTTTGCAGCTGCTGTGGCTGGAGGGACTTGTGTCCAGGTTGGGCCCTTGCTAGAAATGTGGTGGTGTGGGGATGGCTGATGTCCTGCAGTGCTGGGTGGGTGCACCAAAAGTGAATGGGCCCCAAGGCTTATGCTCAACCCTCAGTATGGGGTATCACGCTGAGCACAGTGTGGGTCCTGGCCCTGGGGCCTGGGATCTCCTCTCCATGGCATGGGCAGCACCTGCCACATCCCCGTGGCCCCTCTGGCCTTGCACCTGCCCCTGCACTTGGTCTGCCATGCAGGGGCTGGAGCAGCCACAGCCCAGGGCTGCACTTCCAGGTGGTGCAAGGGGAGGTAGATGTAGCTCTGCATTGTGGGTGGGGGGCACCTGAGGGGCTGGGGGTCATAGAGGGGCTGGGGTTGTGTCACTGGGGCGGGTGATTTAGAACCTGCCAGCCTGTGCTTGCATGTCCTAGCTCATGAGATGAGCAGGGCTTTTCTGCAGGGCCCAAGGGCTTGGGGCTGCCCCATCCACCGTCCCTCACTGGGGCTGTGCCCAGGCTCTGCTGGGCTGCTCTGCTGCAGGAGATGCTCAGCTGCCCAGTTGTGCTACAGCAGGAAACCCGGCTCCTGCTCCATCTCCTCTGGAGCAGCGTGGGGATGTGGGGCGTGAGGGGGGGATGCTGTGCCCTTCTAGGCAAAGCCGTGGCTTTGCCCATGCGAGGCAGCAGGCAGAGGATGGGGCCAGGGGAGAGCGGGGCTCGGTGCAGCCTGGGTCGGGGACAGCTGGATTGCACTGATCCCAGTCGTCTCCGTGCTCGGTTCCTCGGGACGGGCACGGTGAATGTGGGGGCTGCCAGCAGCCAGCAGGGACCGGGCAGAGGAGGGGATTTGCGGTGCCGTGGTGGGAGCTGTCGCCGCGGGGGTGCAGCTGCCTGCAAACCCCGCCGAGCCTGGCGGGGCCGGGCCGGTGCCCGGTGCCGGTGCCCGTGCCGGTGCCCGGTGCCGCCCTGCCGAGCGCTGGCGCGGAGGGGCCGTGGGCTGAGGCGGGCGCTGCCGCTGATTGGGCTCCATCAGCTCCATCAGCTCCGTCAGCGGCCGGGATGACGCACGCGGCCACGGCGGCGCTCGGCCCGCGGCTCCCGCGCAGCCCGGCGGGAGCGGGACCCGCTGCCCGCGCTGCCTCCCGCCGCCCCGCGGGCACTGCCGGGCACCGGGGAGTCTCCACGGCCTCCGCTTCCTACTCCCCGCCGGGCTGCGCTGCTCAGCCCTGCACGCCTCCAGCCTCAGCATCCTCACACCGCTGTGCCGGGGCGGGCGGGCACTGGGATGCCCGCAAACACCTGGGAGGTGGCTGTTGCCCTGTCAGCCGGTCAGGGCTGGGTGCAGGAATCCCTCCCAGGGTGGTTAGCTGTCTCCCCATCTCCACTGGCCTCAAGCAGGGCTAGAGTGACCGCGGGACTGCCCTCGCCAAGGGGTCAGGGGCCTGGGCCGGCAGTGCCAGGCAGGCAGCGGGCAGTGCTGGCATTGGCAGCCAGCCCCTCTGCTGCCAGCTGCCCTGGAGAAGGGAGCTTTGTTCTCTGGGCATCCAGCCCAGATGTGGCCCCTGCTGTCCGTGGGCATTGGTGCTGCCCAGGCAGCTGTGGATGCATGTGGGCAGGGTGGCTTGGTGGGATTTGGGGCAGCAATTATGCAAGTCCTGGGCCAGAAGGGGGTTCCCATGGCCAAGGGTCCTTGTGGTGTCCTTCTTCCCATGGGGTACAGGCAAGCACAGTGATGCCCTGAGGTGGGGTAGCCCTACATGGGGCCAGGAAGTACAAATTCCAACACTGGTAAGCCCAGAGAGACAGCCTGGTGGTTTTATGGCACTGGATGATCTATATGTCCCCAAATGATGCTGATGGCAGAGGGCAGCAAGGGACATGCTTATCTCGCAGGGTCTCTCTGTCCCTGCAGGGTCCAGAGTCCTCACTATGGGAAGGCCACAGTGGCAACCCTGGGGACCCGCACAGGAGATGTCACCAGTGGGGATCCCACTCTTCCAGGGGACCCTCTGCTCCCATGGAGCACTGTCTTGCTTGGCCTGCCTGTGGCAGGAGTGTTTCCCGCATTTCCCTGGTCCAACTTGGTAAGGCAGAGCCAACTGTATGCTGTGCCTGCCATGTGCCCCAGGAGCCAGAGAGCCTTGGCTCATCTTCAGAGAGGGTCTGGGCTCCCTGGCTGGTGGTTGCTCAAGTCGGCAGCAGGAGTGGTGAGTGACAAGGCCAGTGGGGGCATTGGTGTTTGGGGAGGTCTGACTACTGGTTCTTGGGCACCCAGGGGTCCATCCCTTGCCCAGCCTCCTCATCCCAGGCTCTCCTCAGGGCTCCCTCCGCTGCCCTGGTTCCTGGCGGGTGTGGAGCATCTTGGCTGCGCTGCGGGGTCTTGGCGGGGAAAGCACAGCACAGTCATCCCCTCCACAAAGCCGCACTGTTCAGAACAAATCCACACAGAATCGGGCTGCATTTTTGTCAAGTGATTCATCAGCACGTGAATGGAAAGGCTGGAGCCCACTGAACCAGCAACCATTCCCCACACGGGAGCCGGCACTGGCTGCACCCGAGTTACGCTGATGGCACGCAGGGCTTGGCTCACAGGAGCCGTGGTGGCCGCAGGGGCAAAGGGTGGCTGTGTCTGCAGTGATCCCAGCACACTGCTGACAGAGGAGTGGGTGCTGTCCCCAGGCATGGCTGAGGTGCTGTCATTGTGGCTGGATGGCCCAGCTCTTCCCAAGGGATGAGAGGAGTTGGGAAAGCCCTCACTGCGGCCATTGCTTCCCCCACCCCCGCACAAAATGAGTGCTGCCTGTGACTGGGGGGTGGCCATCCTCTTCCCTGGTCCCTGCTCATGTTGGTGCCACTCTCACCTTTCCAGAGTGAACTCTGTTGGCACTTGCTGGTGCCCATGTGGGGCTGTGCCCCCCTGACCTTCAGCTTAAATAGCCTGCCTGCATGCCCCCACAGCCTGCAGTATTTATAGAGTGCGGTCAGATTCCCTCTCCTGACCATGCCAGGTGGGAGAAGCTCCTCTGTGCCAGGCAGTGGGTGACCTCTGCATGTCCCTGGCTGCTGCCAGCCCAGCACCCTTCAGTGGGGACATGAACCAGGATGAACTCTGTGAGAGTGCCCAGCTTCCTGTTCCCTGCCCCACAGTGCTCGGGGGGGCTGGCAGGGCAGGGGGAGCCCTGCAGGGTGGAAAGCTGCCCTTCCCTTGGATGGGGGTACCCATGGCAGAGCAGGGAGCCCTGCCAGCCACTGCCCTGCAGCCAGGCCCCCTCCATACTCTGAGTGCCGAGCAGGAGCTCTAGGTTTGGCACTGCCACTGTCCCCTACACCATCAGCATCCCTGGTGCTACCTGGGAGCTTCAGTCCCTGCACTGATGGAGGGAGCTGGGCACAACTGGGGGCTGCAGTTCCCAGTGCAGGGAGCCAGGCAACCTGCCCAGCATGAGCCAGCCCGATGTCCCAGCCGGTGAGCAAGGCTGAGCTGGCTGCCCGCCTTGCCCGCCTGGCCACTGCAGGTCACTGCCACGTGCCGAGCACTCACATGCCAGACCGCTCATCCTGAGCTGTGGCAGCAGCATGACCGCAGGGACCCTGCCACAGCAGAGCTGTCCCCTGGCTCACCGTGCCACAGCCTCACCAGCCCTGGGGCCAGGTGATCCTCTCATGAACTTTCCTTATCACGGCCTTGAGGCTGCTGCTGCAGTGCTGCTGGTCACTGTCCTGCCCGTGCCAGAGCCCCATCCCTTTGGGGACAGTGGGTGACAGCCATCTCTGGGGGCAGCCAGGCAGGCAGTGGGGTCTGCTGCAGGCAGTAGTCCCCTGTGAAGGAGGGAGACAGTGTGAGATGCAGGGACTGGTCACCCCCTTACCTCACCTCTCCCTTCCAGTGATCCGAGCCAAGGCTGTCTCTGCAAAAGAGGTGGATTCGGGGAACGATATATACGGGAATCCAATCAAACGCATCCAGTATGAAATCAAGCAGATCAAGGTAACAGGGCACAATGGGTCAGGAGGCTGGGGCACGGGGTGGCCCCTTCACCAGCCACTCATGCCTGCCTCTGCTCCCCAGATGTTCAAGGGCCCTGACCAGGACATAGAGTTCATCTACACGGCTCCGTCCACTGCCGTGTGTGGCCGGCTGCTGGACACCGGCGGGAAGAAGGAGTATCTCATCGCAGGTGAGTACTGCGGGGAGGGCTCTCGGGGGGCGTCGGGACAGTGCTGCCCTGGATGCCCCATGAGCCCCGCAAGGTGCCTGATGTGTGCCTGCTCCCTGGGCACATTCTCCCCTTGCCCTTCTGCTCAAGCCACCAGCCCTCGGGGAGCCCCTGGCTGTGTCCTGGCTGTGCTCGGCACTCCCAAGCCATGGTGGGGGCAAGCTGGGGACAAGCCTCAGCTCCCCAGAGTCACCATGGATAGCACGCAGTGAGGAGCCCCAGGCACCACGAGTCAGCACAGGATCTCCTTGAGTGCTCTGTCTGGCCTCTCCCCAGGCAAGTCAGAGGGCAATGGAAAGATGCACATCACGCTCTGTGACTTGGTGTCCACCTGGGACTCGCTGACCCCAACCCAGAAGAAGAGCCTAAACCAGCGGTACCAGATGGGCTGTGAGTGCAAGGTGAGCAACCAGGCTGCCTCCCACATGCCCCCTGCCCCACACCAGGGAGGGTCTGCAGCCCCCAGGCAGGGGTGGGCTCCATAGTGAGATGCTCTTCACTGTCCTGGACACAGCACGTGGCTGGGCAGACAGGAAGGGCTGCCCTGCCTCTGTCTTCCTCCAGCTGGGAACCAAGGCCAGCCCTGGGACTGGCAACCAGGGGTTGCCCAGTTCCCTGCATTGGGGTTGCATCCCCAGCATGCCACACAGGGCAGGGTCAGCCTGGCATCCCTGTCCAGAGCTGGATGAAGCAGAGCATGCTGCCTCCCCCTGGCCCATTGCCCCGTCGGGCTGGTGGGTGACAGTCTCTGTTATGCACAGATCTCACGCTGCCTCTCCATCCCCTGCTTCGTCTCCTCCTCGGATGAGTGTCTGTGGACAGACTGGGCCATGGAGAAGAACAATGTGGATGGGCGGCAGGCGAAGCACTACGCCTGCATCAAGAGGAGCGACGGCTCATGCGCCTGGTACCGCGGCATGGCCCCCCCCAAGCAAGAATTTCTCGACATCGAGGACCCCTAAGCCAAACCAGCGCATTCCAGTAGCCAGTAGAAAAAACCTGCGAGATGTTAGACTGGTCCACGCTGATATCAAATCCTGGAGACAGCATGAAAATCCACTCGGCTGCAGGGGGCCCCGGTGGCTGCCACACATGTGTGGGGGCCAGGGCCAGGGACCCGTTCTGTTGCAGGCTCCTGGCAGCCTGCAGCTGCACTGGGCATCCTTTGCTCGTGGCAGGGCTGAGCAGGGTGTGGGGACCTCCCTGCCAGGGTCACAATACCCCAGCCATGCTTGGCTCTGGCAGCTGTGAAGGAATCAAGCCCTTGTGAGTGGTGGGAGCTGCCCTGGCTGCGTAGCAGGTCTACCAGTGCCCCGCTGCGGGAGCTTCCCCCACAGCTCCAGATACACAGCCCTCCCCACCGCAGCACCTGGCAACCCTGCTGTACCCCTTCCCCCACCACCTACCTCTCCCTTCGGGGTGCCAGAAAGGCACCCCTCTGGGCAGGGGCTCTGGGGGGTTTTACCATGTGGCACAACCCCCAGGAAGGGGCTCTGGGCCTTTCACCGGGCCAGATGACTCCTGCACAGGTGCCTTGTCCCATAAAGCTGGAGGGGCATGTTAGCATATCTGGGGTGACCCCTGACACACACCCATGTACTGTTGCCTCTCCACATGGTCCTCTCTCCAGGGGTCTCCATTCCCCTGCAACCTCCTACAGATCCTTCTGCAGATGTCATCATTGGACAGGTTTGACCTGGAACCCTTGGCAGGGCACCAGGGGCCAGAGCTCTGGCTGCATGGGCACAGGGTGTCCATCATCACCTCGTGCAGATCTGGGCCATGCCGTGGCCCTCAGCACCACTGCAGCCAGGCAAGCTCCCTTCTCTGCGGTGTCGGGAGTGGAGCCTGGAACTGGCAGCAGGGCGGACGCAGGAAAACCTGTCCCCTCCGGTGACCCCCTCACACCCCTCGGCCCCGAGTTCTCTGAGCCATCCCCATGCCACAGCAATGCTGGCGTGTGCCGCGGAGCTGTCGCGGCACTGGCCCGTGCACTCATGGCTTTGGGAGCGTGCCGGGAATGCTCCCTGCAGCCCTGTGCCGGTGGGGTTTTCATGCTGTGCTTTGAGATGTCGTACTGGACCAGTCTGGGCAATTTCAACATATTAAAGATAAAAATTAAAAAGAAAGAAAAAGGAAAAAAACCCCAACCTTTACTCAGTCCCGACCGCGCATCCCGGGCGCTCTGTATGGCTGTACCCGTTGTGCTCCTCTGTCGCTGCTGCTCCTCTGTCTTTGACTTCAATATCGCCACTTGTTTTGCCGCCGGCTGTGTCGTCCCTGTGCCGTGATTTCCGTCTCCTCGTCCGGCGCTGGAGCCGCCCCGGTACCCGCAGAGGGTCCGTGCCGGGAGCTCCAGGGTAAGGGGGAAGAGGGGCGGGACCGCTGCTCCGGTTCGGACCTCCCCGGGCCCCGCCGCCCCTCCGGACCCAACCCGACCCCCGCCCCTCCTCAGCAGCGGAGAGAAGCGAACCACGCGGGGCCGGAGGGAGTGGAATGAAACAGGGAGGGGAAGAACTGCTGCGGGCCCACCCCCGGATGCGGGCGGGATCCAACGGGACCGGGAACGGGACCGGGGCGGGGCCATGACTCAGGGGGCGAGGGCGGGGCCGGGGTACCGCATGGTGGCCCGTCTCGGGTGGAAACGTCCCCTCGTGGGACCGTCCGCTGTGGCCGCGGCGTTACCGGCCGCCTTAGCCTCGGCAGCCGCGTCCTGCCTCCGTTCGCGCCGGGACTCGCAGGGGGCGGGCGGAGCTCGTGTCTCCTTTGGCTCTTCCCAACAAGGGGCGGAGCGGCCGCGTCCCCGGCCTGCGCCGAGCGAGCCGCCCCGCAGGGCCGGCGCGGAAGGAGTTTGTGCCGGCGGCGGGCGAGTGGCGGTGTGGAGACACGTGCGTGCGGCGAGACCCGGATGGTGAGCGCTGCCGGGACCGGGGGCACGGGCCCAGGGACGCCGGGGCCTGCGCCCCCGTCCCGCCGCGCTCCTCTGCCCTGCCGCCGGGGCCGCCCGTGGGGAGCGGAGCGCCGGGCCCGGCCGGGCCGCGTATGGCGGCGGCGGGGCCGAGGCGGCGGTCGGGGTCGCGGGTGGCGGCGGGGGGTTTGCGGTGCCCCTGGTGGCCGAGGGACGCGCCCAGGGGGCCGTGGCGGCGCCGGTTGCTCTGCGAGCCGGAGCGCAGCGGGAGAGGCCTTGCCGGGCCGGGGCCCCGCGCTCAGCCGCCCCTTTCCGCCCTCTGTGCAGCCGGGCCCGCCGAGCCGGCCGCCCACGGCGATGATCGCGGAGAAGCTGCGGGAGGCGCTGGAGCCGGGGCGGCGGGAGGCGGCGGCGGAGCTGGGCCGGCCGCTGGCCGCCGCCGCCCGCTCCGTGCTGCAGCAGCGCATCGAGTTCGCGCCCGCCCGCCGCGGCTTGGCCGGGCAGCTGGAGCACCTGCGGGACAAGTACGAGCACATCGGGGCCGAGGTCCTCGGCCGCCCCCTCGGCATCGCCGGCAGCTTTCCGGAGCGGCCGCAGAAGCTCCCCGGTAAGTGGAGAGGGTGAAGGGACCCCTCCGTGCTCCTGCCCCCGGCTGACTCGCTGCTCCCCGCAGGACACAGCCATGCCCTGCCGAGGGCCGCGGGTGACGGGATCCCCGCGCCGCAGAAGGTGCTCTTCCCACCGCAGAGCCTCTCCATGAAGTGGGAGCGGGTTCACCGTGTGGGCGCCGGGCTGAGTAACCTGGGGAACACCTGCTTCCTGAACTCCGCGCTGCAGTGCCTGACCTACACGCCACCACTCACCAACTACCTGCTCTCCCGGGAGCACGGACGCACCTGTGAGTGGGGACCCCGGTTCACGGGGCCGGGAGGGACTAGCAGCATCTGCCTGACCTGCTCACAGTGCTGCGCCCAGCACCTCTGTGCCTGGCTCTGGTGAGGGAGTGCAGATATTAGGATGCACTTTCCCTGCCCTGTTCCTTTCTGCCTGTTTCTCTGTCAAGAGGTTGTTCCTGGGTCCTGCTCACTTTTTCCTGGCCATAGCAACGTTCCCAAGCTTGGCATCTTTGTCTCTGCTGGGTGTAGCCAGGACTAAGATGGGTCCAATGGGGCCTACCGGCTTCTTGGGGGCTCAGCTGGGGGGGTCCTGTATAGCCCCTGACTGTGGGGAGTGCAAAAGAGCAGCGTGGCAGGCACTGCTGTGAGCTGTCACCACAGGGAACACACAGGCCGTGCAGCCCCGTCCATAGGACGGGATCTGCCCCTCAGGGCCAAGCTATGAGCTTCTCCAGTGCATTTCTGGGACCTGTTTTCTATCAGTGTGAACACAGTCTCTTATGGGGAGCCACCGTGGCTGGTCCTGTGATGGGCTCTGCCAGTTGGGATGGCCGAGCTCATAGGGAAAACTGAATGTGGCTGTATTGGACCAGAGATCCCTGTCCTGCCTCTATCTCTCCTGGGTCTGTCCTCAGCGTCATCTCGTCTCTCCTGCTCCAGGTGCCCATGGAAGCTTCTGCATGATGTGCACTATGCAGAACCACATGATTCAGACTTTTGCCAACAGCGGAAATGCAATAAAGCCACTCTCCATCATCCGAGACCTCAAGAGTAAGGAGGGCTGCCCCACACCATGACTAATGTGGGAGCAGAACTATTGGGATTGGGGCATGTTTTGGCAAACAGCTCCACTGAGATGACTCATGGAGCCTCGGAGTGCCTGGAGACTTGGGCTGCCAGGGGCTTCCTCTGTGACATGAGTCTGATGTCTGGTTTGGGTTGAGGGGACTCAAACCAGAGTGTTCTTGCCCCAGGGAAGGCAGTGAGGGATGGCATCTGTTACAGCATGTGCTGAGTCCTCTCTCTCTTGCAGAGATTTCCCATAACTTGCGCTTCGGTAGGCAGGAGGATGCACACGAGTTCCTGCGTTACACCATCGATGCCATGCAGAAGGCCTGCCTGAATGGCTACACCAAGTATGTGGGGCCTGATGGCCCATCACTGCTCTTTGCTGTTCCCTTGCTGGTCCCCTGCACTCACGGGAGTGGACTGTGGAGTGAACATGTGCCCCAGGTCAGCCTTATTATGGGGAGGTTCTGACTCCAGGGGCCTCGGGTGTGGGGTCCAACTCTCTGCCCCTCAGGGACAAGGCTCTGGGCTGTTGTTCACCTTCTTCTGACTCCTCTCCCTCAGCATAGCTGCAGTCCTGCCCCCAAATCCTGAGACTGCTACAGGCTGGGGTTGCATCCCAGTTGCTGAGGGATACAGGCCTGTTTGCTAGTTTAGCTGCAACTCTGTGGCTGTGGAAGGGCAGCTTCCCCCAGCCCTTTGTCCTGGGAAGCGCTGCCTCTGCTCTGAGCTCCAACCAGGAGCTTCAGTGTTCTGGAGAGGAAGGTGTGTGTTGGAGCCCGGTGTCACCCCTCAGCTGTGACACAGGGAGAGCAGTCTGGCAGGGACTGCAACTTCCCACCGCCCCTGGGGCTCCACAGCCCGGCCACTGACCAGCACGTGGAGGGGGGCTGTCCTGATTGGTCTGACAGGACTGGCTGCTGCAGTGTGAGATATGGTGCTGTTGTCTCTCTGTAGGTTGGATCGACAGACCCAGGCCACAACTCTGGTTCACCAGATCTTTGGTGGTTACCTGCGGTCCCGTGGTGAGTACCGGCAGTCTGGGCCTGGGCAGTAAAACCCTTTGGGAAAATGGCTTACATGTTTAACTTATTCAGAGCTGCAGTCGGTCAGTCCTGCAGCACTTGTGGGTCATGACCCCTAGCGTGGCAATGGGAAAAGCCATTGACTGTGGGGCCCAAGCTGTGGGGTCCGTAGCTCACTGCCATCAGCAAAAGGAGCCATGTTCCCAGCTGTCTGGCAACACCTTCTTCCCCAGCACATTGTGGATGTGTCAGCCCTTCTCCCTGCAAGGCTGTCAGTCCTGGTGCTGACATCCTAGAGCCCAGAACTGGATTGGGGGGACACTGCAGCTGTCTGTGCCATGCTGGGGTGTGGCAGGTGCTGGTGTTGTGCCAGGGTGTGCCCATGGCTCTTCCTTTTGCAGTGAAATGCTTGGAGTGCAAGACTGTCTCGGATACCTATGACCCTTACTTGGACGTGACACTGGAGGTTGAGGTACTGCTGCGGGGTTGGGGGTTTTTGCTCTTGAGAGGAATGTTCCTGCTCTGAGGCTCCTTAACCTGCAGACACAGTGCTGGCAGGAGGGAAGCAGCTCCTGCTGTTGTTCCTCCTTCCCTGTCTCACGGAGCAGTGCCTGTTGCCTGAACGTGAGCCGTGACCCCTCCGTGCAGGCTCGGCACTGCTGTGGGGAAGAGCAGCCGCCACACTGTGCCAGGGCAGGCTGAGGACTGTGGGGCAGCCTGCAGCCCTGTGCTGTGTGCTCTCTCCTGGAGCCAGCGCCTCTGCAGGGAGTGGGGCTGTGCTGTGGGCAGGCCCCACGTGCCCTGACCTCCACCCTGTCCTTGCAGCGAGCCGCAAACATCGTGCGGGCCTTGGAGCTGTTTGTCAAGCCAGAGCAGCTGGGTGGGGACAACGCTTACAGGTGCAGCATGTGAGTGTGGGGGGCTGGGGGCATAACGGGGTCCACGGGTGTGCTGTGGGAAGGCTGCCACAATGTGAGAGGGCTTCTGTGCCTGCTGTGTGGCTAAACCATGAGGTGCAGGGCCATGGAAGCTTGTGATGAAGCCTGCTGCTGCTCAGCTCCCTTATCTTCAAAGGAGAACCTGGGCCTGCGGGCATAGCCATGGGGAGGTGTCTGAAGCAGTGCCTGGTGCCAGAAGCACCATTCCATCGGGTTTGCCATTGCTGTGTGCCCAGGGCAGGCAGCCATCTGATGTTGGAACAGTTGGAATAGCTTGAGCTTTCCTGGGTAGGTGCAGGAAGAAAGTGTTGGCCAGCAAACGTTTCACCATCCACCGAGCCTCCAACGTTCTCACAATTTCACTGAAACGCTTTGGCAGTTGCAGCTCCTCAGGTGGAAGGAAAATAACCAAGGTGAGTGCTCAGTGATCCACAGCCAGGGCTGTGTCCTGGCCCAAGGTCCTGCCCCAGAGCAGAGTGGGAGGTGGTCCTGGTGCAGTCCTGCAGCCATTCCCCACTACTCCCGGTGGGGGAAGTTTGTCCTGGCTTCTTCCTCGCCACCCTCTATGCCTGGGGAGAGCATGTCCCCTCCCTCGAGAGACGGGACTCGTAGCACAGCAGAGCTGCTCTTGCTCTGGCAAGAAAGCCATGCCAGCTCCTGAGGCATCTTCTTTCCACAGGACGTGGGATACCCAGAGTTCTTGGACATCCGGCCTTTCATGTCTGAGCCCAAGGGTGATCCCATCACGTATGGACTTTATGCAGTGCTGGTACACTCTGGGTACAGCTGCAACGCAGGGCACTACTTCTGCTACGTGAAGGTGAGCCTGGGATGCTCCCTTGGGACCCTGTCTGTGCTGGGGCCTGGTAGGTGCTTGTGGATCACTTCAGGGTGCAGAAAGGAGGCTGCTTGGCAGGGTGGCTGCTGTGGAGCAGTGGACATGGAGCGCAAACTGTGGTCTGCTGCAGGTAGTGCGAAGGTCTGCCCTGACAGAGCTCCCTGGCCTGCCCCTGGGCCATCAGTGGGTTTTGGGGAGAGGAGCTCTGATTATGGGTGCTGTTCCTGCTGCTCTGCAGGCCAGGAGGGTCCCTAGCCAGAACCTGACCCCTTTTTTGGACACAGCCTGACCATGCTCCATGTTCTTCCGCAGGCCAGCAATGGGCAGTGGTATCGAATGAATGACCATGAGGTCCACCCTAGCAACATCAAGGTGGTTCTCAACCAGCAGGCCTATGTGCTGTTCTACCTGAGGTAAGAGCACCCTGTGCCTCCTGGCCCCCTACCCCTGCCAAGCAGCCCCAAGGCCCCTGTGTGTGCTGGCTTAGGGTGGGGGGTGGCAGGGGGCGGTCCAGCCCCTTGTCGTGGTTTGCTGTAGCACCTCACCTCCTCCTGCTCCCCTTCCTGACATGTGTCTACTGCTCATCCACGTCCAAACGGCTGACTGCTGCGCTTTGCCTTCCCCAGGCTGGGCAGCCCCAGGAAGAGCTCAGCAGGGCCCATGGCCACGGCTGCCTTCAGCCCGCCCAGCTGCACTGCCAGTGACTCCAAGGCAGTGAAGAAACCTGAGATTAACAGGACCCTGTGTGTGCCACCGATAGGCCTGGTGAGTCCTGAGGGTTGGTGCTCGCAGGAGCTGCTGCTGCACGGTCACTGGGGGCTGCAGCCATGCTGGGAGGTGGATGAGTGGGAGGGTGTTGTGAGGAGAGATCCTGCTAAACCCAGGGATCCTGGCTGGGCATGGGGAGGGCAGTATCACTGTGGCTGTGGCTCATTGACTCTCCTCACTGAACTTCTCTTTCTCCTTGTCTAGAAACAAGACAAACTGCTGGGGAAGCAACTGCCAGGCTCTGGAGATGTTGGAGTCCCTGTTGCCCGCAGCTCTCCTGGCATGGGGTCGAAGCTGACAAATGGAATTGCTCTGTCAAAGCCACCCTTTCAGACCCCATCATCCAAACTGCCCCACAAAGCCACCCACGAGGCCACACTGCTGGGCTGTGACACAGTCCAGAGGCCCAAGAAGCCACAGACCCCTGGCATGCCCAGAGGAGGCTTCCATGCCACCAGCACCATGTGCAGGGCCAAAACAGGGCTGCCCCCACAGGGCTCAGACAGTGAGAAGCCACCTACCTCATCCAAGCTGCTGAAGTCCAGCCAGGAGCCCAGTGTCTGTGGGGCAATGGCCAGGACCCTGAAGAAGAGTTCCAGCACAGTAGGGCAGCTGGCCAAGGAGAACCACAGGGCCAAGAGCAATTCCAGCAGCTTCTGTACCTCTCAGGGAAGGGACTCTGGCATCCACCTCCCTGCTGGCTCTGGCACCAAGCTGGCTGGCTGTAAAGACTCTGACCTGGCTGCCCCCAAAAGCTCCAGGACAGCCCCTGTGACACCCTCCCCGCCGGGCAGCGCCGTGCTGAAGTGGGGCAGCACCATGGCACCACTGCTGGCCAGGAAGCCACTGCTCTCAGCCAAAAAGGTGAGTCTGAGATTCTGCCCAGAGACTCTGGCTGACAGCCTGTGCCTTCTAAACAGGTTGTGTAGGCCTCCTGCCAGGCACCTGCTGACCAGGTGTGGGTGGGGACAGCCCCCCAGCTCCTAACCAAGGGCTGTGGTGGCTGCTCCTCCCCCTCTCTGGGTCAGGGTGTGGGAGCAGGTCTTGCTGTTGTCCACAACCCTGAGTGATGCAGGGGGTGGCTTCTGCCCCCTTGCCTGGGACAGAGGGGTGACTGTGCCAGTCTCTGTAGTGGGGGGGCCTTGGCACCTTCTTGGCATCGCCTGTCCTCTGGGGCCAATGGCAGGGGGTGATGCCAGAGCAGGCGGGTGTGGGGGTGCCTCCTCCACAGGCAGTGAGTGGGCTCAGGAGGGTGTACTGGGGTTCCAGGTCTTTAAACATCTGTCCTTCCTTTTTTCCTTTGTTTTTCTAACTGAACGCACTTCTGATTCTCCCACCCCCCACTTCCCTGCCCCTCTCTTTTTCTGTTCTCCTCCCCTTTCTCTGGGCTTCCCTTTTTCTCTTGGCTCATGGAAACCTTGGTGTTAGACCATCAAGTTTTTATTTATGCCAATAACTGCAGGGCAAACCCTCTCAGAAGGTGAGCATGAGTGATCACCAAGCACAGTGCCAGCCCTCAGCCACCACCCACCCTGACTCTACTCCTAGGCCTCTGGGAAAGTCCAGGTAAGCGGTGCCATTGCTCCCAGGCTCCTACATGGCTGGAAGGCCACTGACAACCTTGGGTGCTCCATGGGGTATCTGTGTGGCCTTGCAGCCAGCTTTTCTGTTCTCCAGGGCTGGCAGGGCTTGCTCCAGATCTGAGAAGAGGTGACTTCAGCAGAGTGGGAGGGAGCTTTGCAGGCCCTGACCCCATACTAATGTCCCATGGGATCAGGAGGCACCAGCCTGGTCTAGATCTTGCTCTGGGTGTCCCTTGTTGCCTTCACCACCAGCATGTGCTGCAGCAGCACCCGCTCTTTCCCGGTCTGCTGTGGGACCTGTGAGTGCTTGCAGAGCAGCATCTGATTCCCATTTTGTGGATAAGATGGCAGCAGTTGGGTGTTGTGCTTCTGCACCTCAGGGGAGGGAGGAAGAGAGGGGCATCCAGGCTTTTGGATCAGCCTCTTTTCCTGTCCTTCAGCCTGTCCTCATCTGCTCTTGAACTTCCCAGTCCTGAAAAGTCTGCCTTCAGTTTCGTGCTCAACTTGCCTGCTCAGCACCCAGCCTCCCTGCTGACCCATGGTTCCACTGCCCACACTTCACACCACCTTCTTTGTAGCAGCAGGGAGACAGGATCTGGCCAGGAGGAACCAGAGGGTTCCTTCAAAAAGAAGCGTCGGAAGAGGAAGCATCGTAGCGCAGACAGGAACCCTTGTGCTGTGGCTGTGAAGGGCATGGATGAAGTCTCCAGTCCTCCCAAGAAGGAGAGAGTTATTTCTCCAGAGGTCTTCAAGGACAAAGACTCCAGGCTCCCCAAGAAAGAGAGCACTGACTCTCAGAAGGACTTCATTGATGAAGATACCAGGCCTCCCAAGAAGAAAGTTGCCTCTCCAGGGGACTTTGTGTCTGTCATGGGGAAGGAGGTGGCCAGTGAGGGTCTCAGCCATGACCTGGTCTGTCAGGACATGAAGAGTGGGCCCAAGCAACATGTGCCAGAGCCCAGTACTGGCCTGGGCATGGAGCCAACTTCACCCCTCAAGAGGAAGAAGAAGAAAAAGAATAGGAGCAAAGACAGGCTTTTGAAGAAGACAGAAGAGTGCAGCTCTGGGATGCTGCCTTCGGACAGGTGAGGGATGAAGGGCATGTGAGAGCCTGAGGTCAGGCTCCCTGAGTCAGGGGCTTCTCATCTTTCTGCAAGTGGGATGCACCTCAGCATGCATCCAGCTGAAGCACCTGGTTGCTGTGGTTGGGTTCACCTCTCCCTGGGTGCAGTGCGGGTGTCTCTGTGCCCTGTTGCTCTGTGGGAAGCTCAGACTCTCCTGCTGTGGTCTGGCTGGTGTGAGCTGACCCTGTTGCCTTCCCCAGCTCCAGGACAAGTGAACCAGAGCCCTGTAAGACACATCAGAGCGTGGAGGCTGGAGAGCACAAGCACCGCAAACGCAAGTGGATGGAAAGCCTCAGTAGCCTGGCTGCCAACACTGTTCCCACCGCCACTGCCACTACCCCAGGTGTGACCCTGTGCCCTGTCTGGTGCCTGGCAGGGTCAGGCCAGTAGCTTGTCTGCCCAGGAGCCCCCTTGGAGCACTGCTGTACCATCCCCAGTGCTTGCTGGTCCCACAGCTGCCTGGCAGTGTCTGTGTCCTGCTCCCTGGCCTGGGCTGCCTGGTCCCAGGCCTGCCTGCTGCTCCTGGGGGACAGCCCTGGAGCCCTTGCACATGCCCTGGAAGAGGAGGTGGGGACAGGCCCCTTGATTGACCCCCCAGGACAGGCACTTGTGTGCCCAGACACCCTCAGCCATCAGGACCTTGTCTGTCCAAATGGTGTTTCCTGGGATGAGATCTGCTTTGGAGAGGGAGGGACATGGTAGCTGCCCTTGCACTCCCTGGCTCATCCTCACCCTGCTTCTTTTCACAGTGGCAGCACATCCCAGTGACAACCAGACTGGGGATGAGAGGTGCTCCCTGGCTGCCCTGAGCCCTGTGGCCAGCAGTTGGGCTGGCACAGCCCCTGAGGGCCAGGAGTCCAGCGTGGTGGACAAGCTGCTCCAGAATTCCTTGGACAGGGCTTATGGCAAGCAAGGTAATCCAGGGTCACCTGGGTGGGCAAACAGCCATGCAGCCCCCCTGCCCTAAGGCCTGGATGGGGGCAGAGCCCCCCCAGCTCTGCAGGGCCTGAGCTCCCCCACCCCAGTGCAGGCAGGGGGTGCTCCTGGAAGCAGGCAGGTACGCCCGGCCACAGGGCTGGCGTGGGATGGGCAGCAAGGGGCTCCAGCCTGGGGCGGGGCCAGGTGCAGCGGGGCACAGCCTGGTCCTTCTGACTCCACCGCTCTGCAGTCTTGACCTGGCAGGGTGAGATTTCGGCCGTGAGCCAGGATGCAATTCGGGACACAGCACTGGCCCAAAGCAAGACCGTCATCGATGACTGGGACCAGGAATTTGACAAAGGAAAGGTGGGTGCTGGCCTGGGCCAGGTGGGAGGAGGGTAGGGCCTCTACAGTCTGACCTGAGCACTCTCCTCCTCTGCACAGGTAAAGAAAATGAAGAAGATGAGGCAGGAGCGGAGGAGAGACTCAAATCCATTCCAGAAGTTGCAGAACAAGCGCAACTTCTGGTTGATGTCACATCCTGCCAAGATGGCCAGTCTGGGCCACCGGCTCTAAGGTGAGTGACCCAGGGGGCACAGCGAGCCTGGGGGCTGGGGGGGTGGCAGCCTGGTGGGGTCTGACAGGGCTCTTTGCCTCACAGGTTGAGATCTGCATCCCCAACTGCTCAGGTAGCAGTCCCATGTCAAGGACCGAGGGCAACACTCTCCTGGGAGCTGTTGGTGGAACACACTGGGAGGGGAGGGAATACAGCCGCAGCCCTGGCGTTGTGCCTTTTTCCTTCGGGGAGCTGCTTTGCAGCTCCAGAGGAGCCTGCCCACTCTACTGTCCCTCCAACCTGCCTCGGTGGGCACCTCGTCAGCTTCTCGGTGCCTCTTCCCCTCTGGCCCCAGCCCACCCCTGCGGGGACTCCTGGCAAGTGCCTCAAGCCCGTCCCTGTCACTCCGTGCTGCTGTGCCTCCCCTTCCCAACGTTACCGACCCTCATCTTCCCCTATTCCCCTCACTCCATGACCCCCATCCCCTGCACAAGCTGCATGGAAAGCCTCCCCCGGCCCCCTGTCGGCCCGGCCCCGCGCTGGCGCGGGGGCACCAGGGGATCCCTTCGGGGCAGGAGCGCTGCCGCCGCGGCTACGGGCACTGAAGGATGGAATTGAATAAATCCCGGTCTTTGTCACTCGGTCATGATCGGCGGCGATGGCGAGGGGCGAGCGGCGGGGAGGGATCACCGGGGCGGGGTTGGGGGGGATCACCGGGGCGGGGTTGGGGGGGATCACCGGGGCGGGGTTGGAAGGATCACCGGGGCGGGGTTGGGGGGGATCACCGGCGCGGGCCGGGGCACCGGGACGGGGTTGGGGGGGATCACCGGGGCGGGGTTGGGGGGATCACCGGGGCGGGCGGGGTTGGGGGGGATCACCGGGGCGGGCGGGGGCACCGGGGCGGGGTTGGGGGGATCACCGGGGCGGGGTTGGGGGGGATCACCGGGGCGGGGTTGGGGGGCTCACCGGGGCGGGGTTGGGGGGGGATCACCGGGACCGGCGGGGGCACCGGGGCGGGGTTGGGGGGGATCACCGGGGCGGGGTTGGGGGGATCACCGGGGCGGGCGGGGGCACCGGGGCGGGGTTGGGGGGGGGGCTCACCGGGGCGGGGTTGGAAGGATCACCGGGGCGGGGTTGGAAGGATCACCGGGGCGGGGTTGGGGGGCTCACCGGGGCGGGGTTGGGGGGGATCACCGGGGCGGGGTTGGAAGGATCACCGGGGCGGGAGGGGGCACCGGGGCGGGAGGGGGCACCGGGGCGGGGCTGGAGGGGATCACCGGGGCGGGGTTGGGGGGGATCACCGGGGCGGGGTTGGGGGGCTCACCGGGGCGGGGTTGGGGGGGGATCACCGGGGCGGGGTTGGGGGGGCTCATCGGGGCGGTGTTGGAGAGGATCACCGGGGCGGGCGGGGGCACCGGGGCGGGGTTGGAGGGATCACCGGGGCGGGGTTGGGGGGCTCACCGGGGCGGGATTGGGGGGATCACCGGGGCGGGCGGGGGCACCGGGGCGGGGTTGGGGGGGATCACCGGGGCGGGGTTGGGGGGGATCACCGGGGCGGGGTTGGGGGGATCACCGGGACGGGCGGCAGGGGGCGGGGCCGGCGAGGCTCCGCCCCGCTCGGGTCACGTGGTGGCGGCCGTGGCGGCTGCGGCGCGCTCGTCACGCGGGCGGGGCCGGAGCGGCGGCGGCGGGATGGAGGAGGAGGAGGGCGGCGGCTGCGGTCAGTGCGGGCCGGGGGCGGGCGGGGGGCTCTGGGACACCCGCCTGGCCCGGGACGAGGCGCCGGGGCAGTCTGTAGTCCCCGCTGGGCGGTGGCTACTCTCCCGGGCGGGGCGCGTTTGGGCCGGGCCGCTCCCAGGTGCAGCACCGGGGGCGGTGGCTCCGGGACGGGCGGGGATTTGGCGGCGGCGGGACCTGCGTCCGCAAGAGACGGAGCGGCCCTGGCGGCATCGTGCGGGAGGCGGCGGAGGAAGCACCGGGCGGAACTGGTACCTGGTGCCCGGCGGCAGCGCGGGGGGCGGGCGCGGCGCGGGGCCGCCCTCCCCGGGCCCGTGGAGCGCCGGCACTGCCGCGGGAGCTCCGTGGCCCGCTGCCCGCACGCCTTCCGTCGGCCGCTCGCACTTCGCTCCGGTGCTCCCACGGCACTGCCGAGTCCCGGCCCCGCAGAGCTCAGGGCGGCTTGGCCTCGATGGTGCCTACTGAATGTCACAGCCCCCGGTTCGGGAGCTCCCGGTGTGTGCCCTGGACCCGCTCCCAGGGCGGGCCGCGGCGGCTCGCGGGGTGCAAGGTCTCCCCTCTCATGCCCGTACATTCTCCTCCCACTTCCTTCTGCCCTCCGTGCCCGCAGAGCGTTCTTCAGCGGTGCTGAGGACCGGCACTGGGCCGGGAGACGCTGCCTGTGCCTGGTCTCTCCCAGGCAGGTTCCCGTGTGTCGGCAGGTGGTTTTTCTTGAGCAGGGCCTTTGCTGAGGGGAGACTGGAGTCTGGGTGAAATCTGGGGCCGTGGCCCCAGTGCTGGAGCCGTGCTGGTGACCGTTCTTCCTGGGAGCAGCTGGTGCCGGCGAAATGCCACTGCCGGCAGTGCCGGTTCACGGCCGGTTTCCTGCCCAGCTGTGCGGCCGATTAGGAGCTGCTGTTCCACCCTACAAGTGACAGTGCTCGGCTGCAAGGACTTCACTGTGTAAGATAAGGAAGGTGCCGGCAGCTGCGGCCTGGCTCGGGTGTTGTCCGATACAACCCATCAGCAGGAGAGCGCTGTGGGGATCGGTTCTGCCAGCAGCCTCCCAGTGCTTCCTGGAATCACCTGGAAGACATCCCGGGTCATATCTCAGCATTAGAAATGTCCCGCCCGCTCTGTGGTGGAAGCCGCAGGGAGTGCACCGCCGCCTCCAGCCCCCACCGCTGTTCCTGTGCTGGGGACAGCACAACCCACAGCTGCCCTGAAGCCCTTAAGCTGAGTTGGTTTAGCCAAGGACATTCTGCCGGGGCTGTAGCATGGTGGGAGCCGACGCGGAGTCTCTTTCTGGTGGGATTGTGCTGACGCCAGTGTCTGCCCCACGGCTCATGGCCCCTCTTCAGCCTCTTTTCAGTCTGCCTCGGTAGGGAGCAAATCCCAGGGCGAGCAGCTGGCAGCACAGATGTGTGCTCCCCCTGCTCCTGCCAGGGTGTGGGGCTGCACTCCCACCCCCTTCCCAGCATCTCCCCATAGGGACAGCAGCAAAACTGAACCCATCCCAGAGCAGAACTGACCGAGAGCAGTGGTGTGGCTCAAACGCCTCTGGACTGTGGGGAAGAGGTATCCTGGGCAGAGAACCATCCTGGCTGCTCCTGCCTTGCCGAGCTGCTGCACCGGTGGGAGAATGTGGAGAGCACAGTCCTGTCCCGGCACTGTGTCCTGAGCTGGGCCCTGTCATGGCTCAGGCTGGCCCCAGGGAGATGGGGATTGGGCAGTGCTGGTAATCCCGCTGCACCCAAGGGATTACTGCTCACTCTGGCCTAGGGATTAAGGGATTTCTCTAAGTGGGGTTGATGCAGCCTCCAGCAAAGCAGCTTGTGCCTGGGGGGCCTTATTGTCTGGGACAGGATGGGTGTGTGATGGCAGGGTGGGCTGTACGAGGTGTGGGGGATCCCCAGGAGGGTGGGGTGACAGGTCTGCAGCAGGCTGGCTGAGGGGGTCCTCACCCAGGTAGTCACTGCCCTCCTTGCCACCAGCCTGTAAAATCCTGTTTTGCCAGTGGGTGCTGGCAGCCCTTTGGTACAGGTTTGGCTGTCCCATCCTCGGACCACAGCATGTCCCTGGACACCAGGGTTCACTCCTGGGGGAGCTGCTGCTGATGCCCCAGCGCTTCCTTTGCACAGTGTGGGGTCAGCCTGGGCGAGTTGCTGGGCCCAGCTTGGGGAGTGACTCTTCCACAGAGCTCAGGGATGGACTCCCAGGTCACAAGCAAAGACAGTGTTGGGGTAGCACCAGGCTTGGAGAGCAGAGCCAGGGGCTTGGGTAGAGGCAGTTGCCCAGTTCCTCTCGTGAGGTGTTTGGAGCAGAGAACAGTGAGCCCTGCTGCTGTCAGGGCTGTAGCTATGGTTTGTAAACACCCCACCTTGCCTGGACAGGGTGCAAGGACCCAGCCAGGCATCCAGGTCACTCTGTGGAAGATGCCACCTGGCCCTGCCCCATCCCAGTCACAGCACCCACATGCCTGTGTCACACTGGCGTTTATCCAGTGCCAGTCCAGGCCCAGGCAGGCGCCTGTACAGCACGTGCCCAGCTCAGTCTCCCCTGTGTCCCCAGCTCCCTTGGCTTGCCCTTTTGCCTTCTGGTGATGTGCTAACTGCTGCTCTGGCCCTTGGGAAAGGGGAAGTGGTGTTGAAAGCAGAAGGTCAGTCGCATCAGCAGTGAGTGCCTGGCTGCCCTCACAGTCCTGTCAGCTGCCCTTCTCCACTCTCTCCTCCTCTCTGCAGTCACACTGCTCCTGGGATCAGGAACTGCTCCTGCCTGCCAGGGTGCCCTTCCCCACTGCCCGCCCGGTCTGGGCTTCTGCCTGCCCTACTCAAGTTACTCCTGGCTCAGCGATCCCAGTGGATGCAGGGGCGGGTGAGCGGAGCTGTTGGGCTGCTCCTGCCCTGACAGGCCCTGGGGTTTGTTACTCACGGCCATGCCCTGTGCTCAAGATCGCTCCTGCTTTGAGGAAAGGAGCTGTCATTCCGGTTTGGGGTTCGCTCAGCGCCTGTGGGGTGGGAGGGTTGCGCATTTCCTCAGCTCCAGAGCTGTCCCCCAGCCTGAGATCCTGGGGTAGGACCCCTGGTTCCTGCTGCAGGAGCCCCCCACACACCAGGGCCGCAGCAGAGTGGGCAGTACGTCTGGGGCATGACCGGGGCTTGGAGTCTGCTCGTGCTGGCACACAGGGTTGGCTGAGCCTGTCGGGCTGGGTCAGGCTGGGGAGCGGGGACCATGATGGCACCCCCACGCTCGCACTGCCGCGCTTCTCTGGGTGCACCTTCCTTCATGCGGCGCTCGTTGCTATGCGACCGCCAGCTCCTGATGCTTAATGCTCTAATACGGAGGGATAAAACCACTCTAAAAATACACTGCTGCCGGCCCCCTGCGGGGGCAAAGGGGCTGCCAGGGGGCAGGCAGCCTGGGCAGGGGGGCTGCCGGGAAGTTCTGAAACTCCTCGTCCTCCAAGTGGCTTTGAGCCGCCCGCTGTGGCTCCGGCAGTGGCACGGACTGGTGTGCTGGTGCAGCGGGGATTGGCTGGGGCTGGCGCGTGGGCTCCTGCGGCTGGAGCTCCCCTACCAGAGCCAGCTCCAGACAGAACTGGGACTGCTCCGACTCCCCTGCTTGCACCCTGCCCCAGGCACTGGGGAGCTGCCCTAGGTACTGGCTACCTGTCTAGTACTGGGGAGCCCATTGCTCGGCCACGCACACCTGGCTGGCCTCTGTGTGCTCCTGCCTGACCTCTGCCCGTCCCTGCATTGCCCTCTCGGAGCTGGTGGCATCCTGCGTGGGACCCCCGCAGCATGGGGACAGTCAGCGAGCTCTGCGCCTCCAGTTTCCAGGCATTCCTCTGCCCCTCCGTGGCTGCCAAGGCAGGTAGGCACTGCGTGCCCCCCTCCCCTCTGTGCCGCGGGGTTCCCATCCCCCAGCAGATATGGCGGTGCCCATGGCTCTGGCTCCATATGGCTCTGGCTCCATATGGCTCCTGCTGAAAGCAGCACAGAGTGTCCTTACCGTCTCACTGTCTCCTTCTGCCGGCCTTCCCAAGCTTGGGCCTCTGCAAGCACCGAGCCCCTGCAGGATGGACAGGCACCAGGCCCCTCGCCTGGCATTGCCCTTCGCTGGAGCTGGTTCCGCGCTAGGATGGGGATGTTGGGAGCGAGCAGTGGCAGCTGGGAGGTCACAGGCAGTGCAGCATGGCCATGGCAGGTCCTGCCCCAGCCCCTCTACCCTGACTTGCCCCAGAGGATGTGTGAGCGCTCGGTCACCGTCATCACACCAAGTGCCTGTGGCTATGGAGGGCAGGGTGGCACTCTCCAAAGGGAATTCTGTGTGGGAAAGCCCAGCTCCTGCCATGCTGTGGGTATGCTGAAGGTCAGCCACCTGTGTGACCTGCTGCTGTCTGCTGGCTCCTGCCCAGCTGTGGGACTGGGGAGCTGCGCAGCGGGGCACGGAGTTGCGGGACCTCCTCGGCCAGCCCTGTGGCTGAGCTGGGCTCTGTTCCTCTCAAGGCCTGGCACCATAAGCAGTGCTGGGAGCAGGTGAGGTGCCTGCCTGGCTGTATTCCTTGCCCATGCACAGTCTCTGTAGACATGGCTGAGCCAGTGCTCACCATGCTGGTGGCTGGGGGTCTGTGCATAGGAATGTTGGAGCCTTGAGCCACTGGGAGCGAGGTAGTGGCTGTGAAGTGGGTTCTTTGATGGGCTCTGGGTCAGGAAGTGGGGTTAATGGGGTGTTTGGGCAGGGCTGCACATAAGGAGGAGAGTGTCCTGAGCACAGGGTCTGGCAGCCTAGGAGGGCCTGTTCTGGAGCTGCCGGTCCCCAAACCCTCCTCCTGATGCACCTCAGCTATTGGTGGGGAAGGATGGGGCTGACGCAACCCAGGGTGTGCACATGGTGAAAACAGGATGTGGTATGAGAAGACAAGCAGGATGTTTCTGGGGGCCCCACTAGACCCCACCAAGGGGCACCGTGGGTAGTAGTGGCACCCACAGCAGCACACAGAGACCATGGACTCATCCCCATGGCCTGCCTGACCCCAGGGCTCTTGCTGTTACTCCTCTGGTGTGGTACAGTGTGGGCCAGCAGCAGGACTGGCTGCTGCTGTAGCTCAGGGGGCCGAAGGACACCCCGAGGCTTCTGAAGCCCACCCTCCCCTTACTCCTTAGCTGGCATTCTGGGTGCTGTGTTTCCATCTCAAGCTGCTGAGTGGGATTTAACTGATTCAAGGCAGCCAAAGCTGATGTGGCCTCTCCAGGCACAGGGACAGGGATGTGCTGGGGTCACAGCCCTACAGCACCTGGACTCGCCACACAGGAGTCCTGCACAGAGCAGTGGGGTCCCTACAGACACCCCATAGCAAGGGGGCAAGACAGTGGGGAACAACATCCCATGGGAACTGGCATGGCTCCTAGTCCTTCTCCTGGTTCCAGTTCTTGTCCCAGCCAGCTGTGGGAGACGCCTGCGGAGGTGAGCGGGCACCAGCGGTCCCCACGGCCAGCACAGGACCTGGACCTGCAGCAGAGGCGTCTGGCTGAGACGGGAGCTGCAGGGCTGAGGGTCTGCCGGGCTGTGGGGGCCCAGCTGGTGGAGGGGAAGCGAGGGGACCCCGGCGCTGTGCAGTGAGCTCAGGATGTGCCGGGTCGGGTGTCCTGGCAGGCTCCGAGGAAGGAAGGGCCGGGCAGCCCAGGGCCTGCCTGACTGGGAGCCCAGCCCCTGAGCCAAGGAGGGGAGCAGGGCGCTGGCGCCCATTTCCCACCCAGCCGGGAGCACAGGAGTTAAGGTGCTGACGGCTCCGGCTCACGGCGGCAGGAACAGGGTGGTGCTGGCTCCCGGCGAGGCCGGGATGACGCCCCAGAGGCCCGGATCTCATTGGTACGGGGCCCTGAGTCACCGCGGAAGCACCGAGGCTGCAGGTGTCCGCGCCCGGCACGGCAGCACCGCTCGGCACCGCTCGGCACCGCTCAGCGCCGCGGCAGCTCGGGCACGGCCGGCGAGGGCCCTGGCACGATGGTGCTGAGGGCAGAGGGCAGCGGTGAGCCGGGCCGGGGCGCGGGGGGCCGGGCGTGGCTGGCCGGGGCAGCGCTAGGACAGGGCGAGGCCAGCAGGGCCCTGCGGCGCGGGGCTGTGCTCTGGGCATGTGCTGCGGTTGCTGCTCTGGGCTGAACTGGCCCCACTGAGCCCCAAGCCCCATGGACAGGTCCTGCTTCTCCGGGGCAGCATCCTGCTGGTGGGGAGGCCCAGCCATGCTGGGATCCTGCAGTGTGGTCAGTCCCTGTGCGACTTCTGTGCCAGGCTGGAGCCAGGGGAAGTGTCTGTTCCAGCCTCCCGTCCCGCGGCACTGCTCTGCCTGCGGCCAGGCTCGCTGGGGCTCTCCAGGGCAGTTGCTGTGCAGAGCCAGGGAAGGGTTAATGCCGCCTTCCTTCCCCAGAAGAGCTCCTGCGTCTGGGGTTTCTCTTCCTCCGGCTGTTGCTGACATGGCTGAGCTGCTTGTCACGAGTGCTCAGCCTCCGCCGGGGAGGGACCTTCCGGGGCTCTGGAACAGCCCTGCTGTCCCTGCTGCCCTGCAGCGTCTCATCCTGCACCACATCTATCCCGGGGCCACCGGGACCCCGGCTGGATCCCCTGTCCTCTCCCAGGTGGGCAGGAAGAGGCAGAGCTGAAGGCTTGCCTGAGGCCTGTCATGAATTTGGCTTTCCCTACGGTCGGGCCGGGGGGGTCTGGCAGCTGGACAAGAGGGTCCTGCAGCTAAGCAGGAGGGTCCTGTGGCACACGCAGCAGCCCAGGGATTTGGGGGTTTCTGTGTCTGATGAGCGGGTGTGACGCAGCTCATCCTTCCTGCTTCAAGCCTGGACTTGCTGCGTGCCCTGGGGGCCTGGCAGTGGGGGCTGGTGCCGGTGGGAATGGTGAGAATGGCGCTGGGACGTGCGGAAGGTGCTGGGATGCATTAACACAGCTCTGGTACTGTAAGTAACTTTTAATCTGGTGCCACGAGCTGACCTGTCTGGCTCAGGCTTCCTGACATGGGAGACTGAGAGTATTGGGAAGCGTTGGCGTGTCTGAAGGACGGTGTTGCAAGCTGAGGCACCTCAGCCTTGACAACAAGGTGTTGTGAAGGAGGAAGCTCATCAGACCCAGAGCAGAGCCGGGGAAGTGCTGAGCTCAGAGCTTCAGGGTGCAGGGTGGCCATCGCCCAGGGAGCTCCTACTGAGGCAGCGGCAGTGTGGGGGGAATCGATGCACAGTTGAGGACAGGGCTGGTCCAAAGGCAGATGGAGTCTTTGGGCACTGGCATGGGGCAGTGACTGCGCTGCGGACGCTCTGGTGAGTCTGGGCTGGTGACAGCAGTGGCTGTGTATGTGGTGGCACTCAGTGAGTGAGGGGGTAATGCTTGGCGCAGGGGAGGATGGTGACAGCCCTATAGATGCCTGTTCTCAGCACCCCAGGGCAGGAGGTGGAGGTGACACAAGAGCTGAGCAGGCAGATCCTGCTGCCACCTCCCTTGGGGACAGTGCTCTGGAGGGAAGGTGTTTTGCTAGGTGTTTGTCCTTGCATGTGACCTTGGTGCAACGCACGGGACCCACTGGCAGAGGTCTGCCCCAGAATAATGAATGCACTGTGGAGGGAGCTGCAAGGGTGGCCAGGAGCTGGTTTATGTTTGGGGCTGACCTGGTGCAGCAGAACAACCTGCAGGGCTGCAGGTTGGTGTGAAGCCTGTGCTGCGGGGCACAGGAGAGCTACCCAGCCATGGGGAGCAGAATGGGTACCCACACCAGCCTGACTGGGGCAGCAGGGCTGGCATAAGCAGTGCTGGAGGTGATGGGGCGGCCCGTGTGGGTTCTCACTCTGCAGCTGCCACAGTTTGAAGGAGCAGATGCCCTTGCCCTCAAATTCCTTTCATGCCACTGGTGCCACTTGGCCTCTGTGTCGGGCTGGGGACACTGCTCTCCAGCCCAGCTCCTCCTGCCACCCAGCACCTCCACGTCCTGCCTCCACCCAGGCCCACAGCTGCTGGCTGGGAGCAGGGGCTGTGCCAGGAGCCAGATTACCAGGACCACACATGCTGACCTGATTGTGTCTCTGCTCAGTGCCCAGTGACCTGACCCCAGAGGAGTGCCAGGAGCTGGAGAACATCCGCCGCCGAAAGCAGGAGCTACTGGCTGACATACAGGTGCGATGCCAAGGGGCCCACACAATCCCCTGTCCCAGAGACAGCGGTGTGGCTGGCAGGGGACAATGTCCTTGCCTGTATCACTGGCAGGGTCCCTGGAGCCCCATCCAGGATCCCTAGTGCTGCTGCTCCACAGCTCTTCCTCCGAGGGGCTTTGGGGACAGGGTCTCATCTGGGATGTGGTCCCAGCCATCCCAGGTGGCAGCCAGCCATCCCTGCCCTGCCAAAGCAGCCATGCCTTTTCCTTGTACCCTGCAGAGCTCTAGGCTGTGTAGTTGTGCCAGTCTGTGCCAGCCCCTGCCTGGCACGAGCAGGGACCATGTCTCTGGGCCAGGCCACTGCCCTGGCAAGTGCCTGTGAGGTCAGGGCTCATCTGGGACACTGTCAGTCGTGTCCCCGATTAAGGCAGCAGAGGCTAATTACTGCCATATGCTGGGCATGATCTGAAGGGATTAGGGGTAATTTTGTTAACCTCTGAATCTCTTCCTTCCTGCATGCTGGGAGCGCAGCAGTGCTGCAGGGATTAGCAGCGCGGGGGGGCAGCCAGCCCCACTGCCTGTGCCCTCTGAGCTGGTTCAGCCCCTGGGCAGCGCTTGGGGGTGGGGGGAAGAAGGGAGGGAAGGAAGGAGGGGCTGTGGGGCCTCTTAGGGGAGTGGGGTTGTCTCCAGGGCTGCAGGCTAGAGGGTTTGTGGGGGAGGCACCTTCTTGTCTCAGTGCCCCCTCTCCCCACAGCGCCTGAAGGATGAGATAGCAGAAGTGACGAATGAGATCGAGAACCTGGGCTCCACAGAGGAGAGGTGAGTCCCAGCACCACGGAGCCCCCTTGGGCTTGCCTACACTCTGCAGGAGCTGAGGGCAGCTGAGCCCTGGCCCACGAGTGCTGGTGTGAGCAGCTTTCCCAGGCGATCTGAGCTCCTGGGAGCAGGATTCCAGGATGATCTGCTGCTCCCAGGTCTATTTTTCCAAGCCCCAGCCCCTCTGTCTGGCCACAGCCACTGGTGAGCTTTGTTATTCTGAGCTGGTGCAGTCAGTGCCAGCCGGGATTAGGGGGTTCCCGGCAGCCAGTGGGAGCCAACTCCCAGCATCATTCCCAATTATCCGCTGGGACATGAAGATTGTCCCCTTCTGCCAGCCCCACTGCTCTCCCCAGAGCCCTGCCACAGCCAGCTTGCCCAAGCCTGCCTGTGTCTGGGTGACCTGACAGGTGCTGTGCTTGCACCCCTCTGGTCAGGGTGACCCCAAGGACACGGGGTGGCAGCTCCGCTCTGTTCTGGGGCCTGGCAGGCCGAGAGCAGCCCCAGGCCACTGCGTGGGACAGACACGGAGCAGTGTGTTGACTTTGTCCTCTGTGGGTCCAACATGGGGGCCTGGATCCCCTCAGTCCAGGCTGACCCTCCCCACATTGCACTGCCCCAGGGGCTGCACAGAGGCAGTGAGGCCCTGCTGGGTGCTCAGAGCTCTTCATGCCTTGCAGGAAAAACATGCAGAGGAACAAGCAGGTGGCCATGGGCAGGAAGAAGTTCAACATGGATCCCAAGAAGGTACTGTGGGGAGCAGGGCTGGTTACCCACCTCTGGGGGAGTGCACAGCTCTACCACTCTCTCAGTCCAGGTTGCTGGGACTGAGGCAGAGCCAGCAGCCAGGGCGGGGACTAGTGGTCAGGGGGCAGGCTGGTGGGGGCAGCCACAGACCCCCAAGCACCCCTCTTGCACCCCTCCAGGGCATCCAGTTCCTGATTGAGAACGACCTGCTGAAGAACACGTGCGAGGACATTGCTCAGTTCCTGTACAAGGGAGAGGGCCTCAACAAGACAGCCATCGGCGACTACCTGGGCGAGAGGTGCACTGGGCTTGGGTTTCCTGGGGGTGTTCTGGGCTCCTGCCACCTGAGAGATGGGACACTGCGGATCTCACAGGGAGTATTCCGTTCATGGCTGGCACTTGCAAGTGGCTGATTTGTGCAGACCAGACCAGGGATCAAGCAGGAAATAGCTGCAGCTTTCCCCTGTGAATGGGTAGAATCTGGAGAAGGGCAGGGACAGTGGAGCCACTCAGCAGTCACAGGATTGCTGATCATGCATCCCTCGTGCTCTGGATTTGTTCCCACAGGGATGAGTTCAACATCCAAGTCCTGCATGCCTTTGTGGAGCTGCACGAATTCACTGACCTCAACCTTGTGCAGGCCTTGCGGTGAGTAAGGGGCTGGCAGCTGAGCGTGGCCCATTGAGGGCGGTGGGGACCATGGAGCCCCCAAATCAGCAGCACAGCTCACTCTCCACAGGCAGTTCCTGTGGAGCTTCCGGCTGCCAGGGGAGGCACAGAAGATTGACCGGATGATGGAGGCCTTTGCCCAGCGGTACTGCCAGTGCAACCCTGGTGTCTTCCAGTCCACAGGTGAGTGCCCGTCCCAGACAACACCTGTCCCAGAGTGCCCCTGGTATCCTGCCCCACAGCTGACTTTCCCCTCTGCCCCTGCAGACACCTGTTACGTGCTGTCCTTTGCCATCATCATGCTGAACACAAGCCTGCACAATCCCAACGTGAAGGACAAGCCCACGGCAGAGCGATTCATCGCCATGAACCGCGGCATCAATGACGGGGGGGACCTGCCGGAGGAGCTGCTCCAGGTGAGGGCCAGGGCCAGGCTGCAAAGCTGACCCACAGCAGGGCCCACCACAGGGCTGCAGGGCAAAGGAGAGCTGATTCCATGTCTTTGTACCAGAATCTGTACGAGAGCATCAAGAATGAGCCCTTCAAAATCCCTGAGGATGATGGCAATGACCTCACACACACCTTCTTCAACCCCGACCGGGAGGGCTGGCTCCTGAAGCTCGGTGAGTGCCAGCAGCAAGGGAGGGCAGGCTGTCACCAGGGTGCAATGCCCCTGGGCTTCCCACACTTCTCCTGCTGGCCTGGCTCTTCAGAGTGTGAGGAGGCTACAGAGACAGGCATAGCCTTCACGGGAAAGGCGTCTGTACAACCAGCCCTCCATTTTCCCTTGGCTGGGCAGCAGGAGCAGACTCAGAGCTGATGAGGCCCTGCAGAGTGGCTGGGTGGTTGTTCTGGGGGATTCTGCCTCTAGGATGGGCAAGCCCCTGGGGTGCAGAGCTGGTACCAGGGTCTGGTGTCAGAGCTCGAGGCCCTTCAGGTCACCGAGTCACAGCAGGATGTGGAGCAGGCCCCCGGGAGCAAGCGGTGAGCTGCCCCAGGCTGCGTGCATCCCCCCTCCGTGCCACAGACAAGCCCCTGTCTCACCTTCCCACGGCATTATCACCTCTGCATCCCGGCTCCACGTGCAGGCAGCATGCATGGCATCCCTGCTGCACCGCCCAGCTCCGCAGCCGGAGCCCTCCGCGCCCTGGCTCCTGTGGCTTCTCTTCTTGGCACCGCTGGGGAATCTTCCACCCGGGTGTAGCAAGGGGAATGGGTGTTGGCAGGATCAAGGTCCAGTAGGTGTTTCCCCACGGTTCTGGATGGGATCAGAACTCCTGATACATGGCCAACCACCTTGGGAGGGGAGAGCAAGAACTGCCTGCTCCCTGCCCTGGGGTGGGGGGACACAGGACAGCCCCAGGCTCTCCCATCCCTGGAGGGGCCCTGCACACCAGGTTCAGGTTGGCACCACCAGTGGGGTGGTGGAGAGGCAGCAAAGTGGCTGTGGACTCCAGCTGTCTTGAGGGGCAGGGAAGGACCCTGCCGGTCAGCCATGGGGTGGAGGGAGCCAGGCCCTGTGCCCAGCAGCCAAGGAGCCCCATCCCACAGAGCCACAGTGAGCCAGGGCAGTCGAGTCCCCACAGCCCTGCCGCTGGCCCAACCCCTCACAGCTTCCCTGCTGCAGCCCGGCCCCACTGACCCGCAGGGCAAGGGGGGCTTTGGGGTTCCTCTTTTTTTTTTTTTTTTTTTTTTTTTTCCTTTTATTTTAATTTTCTTTTCTCCCTCATTTATATGTTTCCATGATTTTGGCTCTTCCTTTCCTTGCCCCCAACTCCAGGAGGTACGTACCCCTCTTCCCTGCTCTGCTCACACTGCTGGGGCTTCGTTTCCTTTGCGTTTTTAATTGCTGGTGATGAGTCTCATTGCTGCTGCTGTTGCTGCTAACCACACATACCCGGGGACCTCGCCTGCTGCAGGACAGCCCCTCTCCACCTCCAGGCAGGGACATGCGGTGCCAGCCCTGCCAATGCCACACATTCCCCAAGGCCTGTGGCCTCCTCTGCAACCCTGGGGGCGGGCAGGGCCGCAGTGGCACCTTGGCACCCGCCCAGCTGTGCACCACTATGTCTGCAGACAGCTCAGCTTGGCCAGTGGGTCCTTGCCTCTGGTGACACAAGGGATGGGGACAGGTTTGGGGTCTCCTCAGGAGGGGCCCCAGCCTCTGCACGGGTGGTTAGAGTGTGCCAGGTGGCAGGAGCTGGATCCATCTGTGTGGTGCCCTGTGCTGTGCTAAGGGCTCACAGCAGTCCCCATGAGGCACCAGCACTGCTCCAGTGCCTGCACCCCAAGGTGTCGGGGAACATTGGTGCTGGCCCTCAGAACTGCGCTGGGGCAGGGACAGGGCTGGGCTGCCAGCTGGCACAGGGGAGTAGGGCCCATAGGTCCTTCCTGGCACGGGAAGGAGATGCACAGGACTCCCAGGGTACACTGTGGCTCCTGGTGTCCGTGCTGGATCCAGCCTGCAAGGGTGGGTGCTCGTCCTGCATTCAGCACTGCTGCAGTGGCTGCGCTGGAGGGGAGCTGGGCCTCGGGGGGAGCAGGGCAGCTTCTCCCATTTTGCTGGCAGCTGTGGAGCTCAGTTGTGGCCTTGGGTCCTGCCTTGCCCGGGGTCCAGGACGAGCGGGACCATGGTCAGTGTGGACAGAAAGCCCCTGTGTCCTGCCAGGGAGCTGCCTGGCCGGTTTCCTCTAGCTGTGCTGAATCTGTGTTTGGCTGGGAGCGGCCAGCGCTCCCAGCCCGGCCGTCCCACCCTTGCCTCCCATCCTCATCCGTGCGCTTCCTGCTCTGGTGGGTGCAGTGTGCGCTGCCTGCTGCTGCTGCCCGCCGCTGCCTGCCTCTGCTTGGCTCTGTGTGTGTGCCCGGGCCCGCGCTGCTGGAGCCGCTGTGTGCCCGGCCCTGCTCGGCCGGGCTGTGCCCGACTGGCCCTCTCTGCTCCCAGGAGGCAGGGTGAAGACGTGGAAGCGGCGCTGGTTCATCCTGACTGACAACTGCCTTTACTACTTCGAGTACACAACGGTGAGTGGGCTCCTGCAGCGTGAGCTGAGCTGCGGCAGGGCAGGGGCTGGACTGGGGGTGTCCCACCCCACAGCTAAACATCTTCTTGGCCGCACCAGGATAAGGAGCCCCGTGGCATCATCCCCCTGGAGAACCTGAGCATCCGTGAGGTGGAGGACTCAAAGAAGCCCGTGAGTGCTGTGGCAGTGTCCTGTGGGGTTTGGGGGCAGCTTTGGCTTGGGCAGGAAAAGCTGAGAGGTTTTGTAGCACTGAGATGTCTCCAGGAGTGGCAAGGGGCCCCAGGGCAGTCACTGCCTTCATCAAAGGCACTGGTCACCACAGGGGCACATGCAGGGCCAGGGGGTGGCAATCATGTGGTGTGTCTGTCCCTCTCTGCCGTGCTGGGGTGGCTGTGCCAGGGCTGCATGGCTCTGCTTTTTCCCTCCCAGTCTGGGGTCCCCTTTAGAAATGGGGGCTGAGTCTGAGCGGTCTCTCCCTCCCAGAACTGCTTTGAGCTCTACATCCCTGACAACAAGGACCAGGTGATCAAGGCCTGCAAGACAGAGGCAGATGGGCGTGTGGTGGAGGGGAACCACACCGTGTATCGCATCTCTGCCCCCACGCCTGAGGAGAAGGAGGAGTGGATCAAGTGCATCAAGTGAGTGCTTGGAGGAGCATGTGGGGGCATGGCACTGGGCAGGGGCCCAGCAGGGACCTGCCTGCTGTTCTCAAAGGGAACAGTGCTTCCCAGGGCATCCTGCAAGGATGGGGGAAGAAAGCTTTCCCAGGGATATAAAGGGATCTGCCCAAGGCAGGCCAGGCAGGTGGCACCCACACTGCAGCAGTTTGGCCTGACCCAGTCCTTGTTCCACTGCCAGGGCAGCCATCAGCCGGGACCCCTTCTACGAGATGCTGGCTGCCAGGAAGAAGAAGGTCTCCTCCACCAAGAGGCACTAGCAGCCAGACTGGCCCTGTGAGGCCAGCCCAAGTGACCCCCTGTCATGGGGGCATGTGGGCTGGGGGCCACGCTGCATGCTGGCCCTTGAGGCCCAGGGCCCAGCTTCAGCTTAGCCATTTCTTTACTGTGGGGGGAGGGAAGGGGCACGGGCATCTCAGTGACTCTGGCCCCCCATCACTGCCTCATCACCAGACAGCGTCTTCACAGGCTCAAGCTGGAACACAGCACCCCTGGGAGCCCTGGCCTCAGCACCACGGGCACCCTCCCTGCCTCGGACCCCCAGGAAGCCTGTGGCCACACGGTACTGGGTCTCCCCAGCACCCGTGTTCAGACGCTCTTGGGGTGTTCCGTCAGGAGGGCGAGCAGCTGCTGGTGTGCCGCTGGCGGTTTTGGGGTGCCACAGGTGCTGGGGTGCAAGGTGTCAGCCCCAGGGGGGCCCTGCAGAGATACAGCTCCCAGCCCTCGTTGTAGCGGGCTGGGTCTGTCCTAGGTGTCCCCACGCTGCTGCCTTGGACCCTCCCAGCCACCCCCTGCACTGGAATGGTCCCACAGACACAGGAAGGATGAAGGGCAGGGACTGTTGACGAGCAGTGGTGCCCCACAGGGCAGAGATTTGCCCTCACCCAGCTGTGGGAGCTGTGGCTGGGATTTGGCAGCACTCGGTGGCATTGCCCCAGCACATCCTTGTGTCGTGGCCCTCATGCCAGGGGGGCACGGTGCCCTGGTGGATCCTGCCTTCGGGATGGCTGCTGGTGGGGATCTGGCTGGGTGGGGGCTGTGGCCCCACCTCTCTGCCTCACAATCGCCTGTGTCATGTCCTGTCCCCATCCCCACTCACGGTCTGGCGCCTGGATCAGTATTAGTCTATTTATCAGAGGTGTAAATACTCCTGTATAGTTTTCTCCTTGTAGATTATTTTGTATGTGGGTGGTTCAGTGCAGAGGCCTCACAGGAGTGGGGCGGGTGGGCAGGATTTTTTATTCTAACCTTTTTTTTTTTTTTTTTTTTTTTTTTAATTTGCCATGGCCTTGTAAACTAGTGCTGAAGATCAGCAGCAAATAAATACTTGCACCACGCTTCCCTTTGCCTCCTGTGCTCTGTGCAGCTTGGGGTAGGCAGGAGTCCCCTGCCAGTGTCAGCGCTTGCCCTGTGCCTAGCCTTGGACTGGGCTCATTCTCCTCCCAGTCTGAGGTTGTGGTGTGCTGGGGATGTTTTTGAGCCTTGTGCCTTCACAGCTGGCCTACCCTGGCCACCAGGACAGTGTCTGGGGTACCTCACTGCAGAACGCAGGGTGCCTGTTCCAAGCTGGGACAACTCTTGGTCCTGCACCCTGCTGAGGGCACCAAACTTGGCTGGGCAGGGCTGTGGTCACTCACGGCATCAGGGCACTGTGGAGGTCTGGGGACAGTGGGATACTCTCGGGTACTGTGTTCTGCACTGGGGCGGGGGGATTCGTACCCAGCTGTTACCAGGGATCGAAGTCAAGCTGGGGCTGAGGGCAAGCTGGGAGTGCCAAGCCTGTGCCAGCTGTGTGGGTGCCATCAGGGTTGGAGGGGGGTTGTCCAGTCACACACACTTGTGCCATGGGGGGGGATCTGCCCAGGCATTCCCCGCTGCAGTCCCTGCCCATCCTGTGCCTTGGATGGGGCAGCTGTTGGCACTGCAGCCTGAGTCTGGGCAGGGTGGGCAAACAGCCCTTGCTGAGGGATGGGGCAGTGGGGGTGCAGGGGAAGGGCAGCCCTGCCGTTGGGCTGGTGCCCGTTGGGCTGGTGCCAGGGTCGGTTGGGGCAGAGGGTCGGTTCAACTGCTGCAGTGTCAGGTGGGGTGCAGTCAGTGCCTGGAGGCTTTGGAGGGTTGAGGAGTGCGACAGGGAATCAGTAGAGCCAGGTAAGATTGGGGTGAGCCAGGGCAGCGCTAGGGCCGGTCAGGGATGGGCAGCTCAGGGGCAATAGGGCTGGGTGGTGGTGGGGTAGGCTTGGGGTCATTGGGCCCAGGCAGGGATGGGACTGGCAGCTTCCCCTAAGGCTGCATGTGCAGAGGGAAGGCTGACGCTGTGGATGGATGGGATGGGCAGTGTCAGGAGGTCAGGGTGTGGGGTGTGCACAGCCCTGGCTGAGTGGGGATTTCGCAGGTGCTGGGGAGCTGCAGCACGCCCGGTGCTGGCACGATGTCAGCCCCACAGGACGAGCGCTTAGTCCTCCTCGAGAGCTTGGCCACAGCGCTGCTGCGTGTCCGGCCGGACAAGTGGGCCAAGTTTGTGGCCAGCGAGGAGACTTCAGTCATGCTGGACAAGTTCTTCAAGCAGCCAGAAATGCTGGAGCTGGTGCTGGGGCTGAACCCTGCTGGCCAGCTCCTGCCCACTACCTGCTTCCCACCTGCCCTAAAGGGCAAGGGATTCTACTGTGTGAAGAGGAAGGGGGAGAACATCACCGGGGAGAACTGTCGGAGTGGTCTGCTGGTGGGAGACATCGGCCCCTCACCCGTGGAGCAGCTCATCACTGTGCTGCTGGAGGTGGGTTGCCCATGCAGGCACAGGCTTGGGGCAAGCAGGGTGAGCTGAGCTCCTTGGGCACACTGCTGTGCTGGGACCTCGGCTGTGGGCTGCTCTAGCCAAATTTCCAGATAGGCTCCAAAATAAAGTAAAATTCACACAAGAAAACTTGTCCCAGGTCCTCGCCCTGACTTTGCAGTGGCTCTCATCCTATGTTGAACAAGCCCCACAAGGACAAGAGCTGGGTGAAGGTCACCAACCCAGTTTTCTTCTGGCCCCAGCTGGATCACTTCCTGCAATTTTAGAAACACATAATAATGCCCACTTACTTTACCCTGCAGCTGGGAAATGTCTAAGTGGATTTCTCTCAAACTGCCCATAAATATTCCCACTGCCAGTCCAGAGCACCCAAAAGCTGCATCAGCTCCAGGAGTCCCCCTATCTGCTGGGGGCTTTTGCTCATGTGCCAGCCTCTGACTCTGCTAGATGCATTCACTGTGCCACTTCCAGCACTTCCCAGGCCATGAGAGCTGGAAATCAGAGCAAAGGGCCTTTTGGTCACACTGATAAATATCAGCAAAACCCATCTGCGGCCAACAGAGCCGTGACTGCACTGAGACTGTGCTTCAGTGGGCAGCGAGAGGGAAATGCCCACTGCCCTTTACAGGAGGTCATGAGCAAGTGCCTGACCTAACCCTGTCTTGCAGGTTGTGTCTCCTCTGCTCCTGAGCCAGGATGAGGGGGTGGGCTGGCCCAGGATTGTGGTGGAGGATGTCGTGCGCCACACTCACCAGCTGCAGAACAAGATGTTCGTGATGACTGGGAAGATCCAGGGAAAGCCACTGCTCCCACTGCCCGAGCACCTGGTCAGCTGGGAGGACTCAGGCGCTGCCCTGGACTGGTGGGTGCTGCTGGCACCAATTGGTGCTAGGAAAGCCTGGCAGGGGCCCAGGACTGCATCAGTCACTCAGGGAGGGATGGGAGCGGGGTCACTGGCTCGGTCCCTGCACAGCCCTGGGCACAGCCATCCCCTGCAGCAGACATGGTTTGAGGGGTTCATGCCAGGCATCTGCAGTGGCAGAGATGGCCACAAGCAGGAGTGATTGGCTTCCCGAGGGCTGTTTGGGGTTCCCCTGGGCAGTGCAGGGCTCCCAAGGGGCATAACCCCTCTGCCTTTCAGCCTGGTGGGGCCCATAGATGGTACAGCGCTGCACTCCATCGAGACCGTGGTCATCGAGTGGTTCCAGCTGGTTGAAGAGATCTTTAGCCAGGACCCAGCGCAGCAACTGCTGGAGGGGTTGCACCCACTGCCCAGGGTGGAGTTTGATTTCTGGCAGACCAGGGTGACCAGCTTGGAGTGCATCAGTGAGCAGGTACTGTCCCACCCATTGTGGCCACATGTGCTCATGCCGAGCCCCCCGTGCTGAGCTGCCCGTGCTGATCCTGACCCCTCTTCCCTGGCAGCTGCTCTCACCCCAAGTGACGGTGCTGGCCAAGACGCTGGAGAAGGCTGACAGCTGCTACTGCCCATCGCTGCAGAACATGTTCAGGGCCGTCAGTGGTGGTGAGCTCCCATGACATGGTGGTGGCTGCCTCCAACCAGGTGTCCTCATCCCAACATGGACTTTCTCCATGTCCTAGGTCTGGAGGAAGCAAATGATGTCAACCTCCACCTGCAACCGCTGCAGGGGCTGCTAGAGGAGATGGAGCAAATGGACTACTCCCAGGTCAGTGATGTGTGGCAAAATAACCAGGAAGAGCAGCAGAGCCCCAGAGGCTTTGGGGGGACCCATCCCCCCTCACTGACGAGGCTCTCCTCCCGCAGCTGCGGCCCTTCATTCCCAAGGTGCTCTGCACTGTCTGCCTGCTCCGGGGTCACTGTGTGCACTACCACTCGCCTGCCCACATAGCCCGTATCCTGCAGGAGACCTGCAACTTCTTCATCAGCCTGGTACAGCCCCGTGGCCAGCACTGACCCACCCCTGTCCCCTCCAGTCATCTCTCTGGGGCAGATGCAGTGATGTGGAGGGAACAGCAGAGCCCCCCACAGGGCTGGGGGGAGTCTGGGGCAGGCATGGGCTGCTTGCAACCACCAGCAAGTCTGTGAGGGTGAAGGGGGCAGGAGGAGCCTCCACATCCTCCTGACAGCAGACCCTGCCTGTGTCTGTCCCAGACCTATAAATTCCTGAACCCCGAAGACATGCTGAAGGGGCTGCAAGGAGAACCCCAGGAGACCCTGGAGGGACTCAAACAAGCCATCGCCACCACAGAGAAGTTCTTCCAGTCCTACAGCACTTACTGCTCTGACCTAACGTCCACATTCTTCCCAGTGGGTGCAGGGATGGTGTAGGAACCTCTGACCTCCTGCACACTAGCACCAGACTTACAGCCCCTCTGCCCTTCCAGGAGCAGCCAGAGCTCTGGCAGTTTCCCCCCACACAGATCTTCGGGAGGATGGATGCCTTCTTGCACAGACTCAAGGACATCAAGGTGAGAGCGCAGCACTTCAGGGCACAGCACCAGCCTCAGTCAGGCCTTCCCTGCCCTGGGGAGGGAGTGGCACAGGAGGAGCTCGGATGCAGCCTGGGGCGGGCTGGGGCCGCTGGCACAGTGGGACACCACTGGGAGTTCAGTGGCACCATTCCCAGCACAGGTTCTCCCCAGCCCCGAGCCCCCATGACAGGATGGGCACACCCGAGCCAGGCCACCCCTGTGGGGCTGCTCCTCAGGACTGCTGAGCTGGCAGGATGCAGCCCTGTGCTGGTGGTGCAGCTCCTGCACCTGCAGCCTGGGACAGGGCAAGCCAGGTACAAGCAGGTTTTTGCTTGCCAGGAGCTGTTCCAGGCAGCCATCGACTTCCTGAGGCTGGAGAAGACGGTGCTGGGAGGGGTGCGAGGGAATTTCCTCGGGACCTGGGTGTTGCAGATCTCTGAGGAGATCTGTGAGGCCACCAAGGCTTTTGCTGAATGCAAATATGATCCCTTGGATCCCAATGAAGAGGTGAGCAGGTGCTGGAGTGGAAATGTAATGGATGCTGGAATGGAGGTATTAACATTGGCTAAGTGAAAATAAAAAAATCTCTTGTGAGAATATGCTGCAGAGGGTCACATGGGACTGCCCCACAGCAGCACAGGGCTGGCTCTGGAGCAGGGCATGGGGCTCTGGACCCTCCGGGTTCAGCAAATCCTTCCTGAAGGATCTAAGAAGGAGGCACAAGGGACTGTGCCACTTTAAACAGTTTTGCTCTCAATGGCAGCAATGGAACAGAGACTTTGCAGAGTTCCAGAAGAAGGTTGAGGATGCAAACAGGCAGCTGGCTGCGATCTTCTGCCAGGGCTTTGATGACTGTAACCGCCTGCCAGCTGCCGTGAAGGTACCTGTGCCCCAGCTCAGCAGCTTGGCACGCAGCTCCCACAGGACCTGGGGGTCTCGCCCGTCCTGGGACTGCTCCAGGGTGTAGGAACCAGTGCCCGCCTCTCTCTCCTGCAGCTGGTGCACATGTTTGCTACCGTGTTGGAGAGACCCCTGATCAGGGCTGAGGCTTCCCCCTGCTACTTGGCCCTGCTGGGAATGTTTGAGGCAGAA